GGACCATTCGGACAATTATTCAGACCAGATAACTTTGTTTTCGGACAAACAGGAGCTGGTAACAACTGGGCCAAGGGTCACTATACCGAAGGTGCAGAATTGATTGACTCAGTCTTGGATGTAGTTAGAAAAGAAGCTGAAGGATGTGATTGCTTATAAGGATTTTAAATCACTCACTCATTGGGAGGAGGTACCGGATCAGGAATGGGAACCTTGTTGATCTCAAAGGTTAGAGAAGAATATCCAGACAGAATCATGGAAACATTCTCAGTTGTGCCATCACCAAAAGTGTCTGACACAGTCGTTGAACCATACAACGCCACCCTTTCAGTCCATTAATTGGTCGAGAATGCTGATGAATGCATGGTCATTGATAACGAAGCCTTATATGATATTTGTTTCAGAACATTGAAATTGACAACCCCAACATATGGTGATTTGAATCACTTGGTCTCAGCTGCTATGTCAGGAGTTACATGCTGTCTTAGATTCCCAGGTCAATTGAACTCTGACTTGAGAAAATTGGCTGTTAACTTGATTCCATTCCCAAGACTCCATTTCTTCATGATTGGTTTTGCCCCACTCACATCAAGAGGATCATAATAATACAGAGCTCTTACAGTCCCAGAATTGACATAATAAATGTTCGATGCCAAGAACATGATGTGTGCTGCTGATCCAAGACACGGAAGATATTTAACAGCATCTGCTCTCTTCAGAGGAAGAATGTCAACCAAAGAAGTCGACGAATAAATGCTTAATGTTTAAAATAAGAACTCATCTTATTTCGTTGAATGGATTCCCAACAACATTAAATCATCCATCTGTGATATCCCACCAAAGGGTTTGAAGATGGCTGTTACCTTTGTTGGTAACTCAACTGCCATCTAAGAAATGTTCAAGAGAGTTGCTGAATAATTCACAGCTATGTTTAGAAGAAAGGCTTTCTTACATTGGTACACTGGTGAAGGTATTTAATAATTTATATTCTAATCTAGGTATGGACGAAATGGAATTCACTGAAGCTGAATCCAACATGAATGACTTAGTCTCTGAATATCAATAATATCAAGATGCCACTGCTGAAGAAGAAGGAGAATTTGAAGAAGAAGGAGAATAATGATAATCTAAGTGATTTTTATCACAAAATATATAAAATCAACAACCATCATCATTATTATTCTTATTTCTCTCAATTTTATGTTTGTTTTCCTATTTACTTTATATACTCATATAATTTAAATTCTATTATCTATTGAACTTCAGTGAAATTCAAATCATAATATATATTTGTTTTCAGTATCAAATTGAAATTATAAATTACTGTATACTTTACTAAGCATATCAGTGAAAAATCAAATGTTTTTTGAAATAATCAAAATATTTCATCATACAGAAATCTAATTTTTTTCAACTTTCACTATTTTTTGATCAATAAAACTAATAATTCTTATAAAAAAATTACAATTAATTCTAAATTTAATAGTATATTTACCCTTTTTTGTGGATATGTAATTTCTTTTCAAATCAATTTTTTTTTCTTTATATAAATAAGAATCTATAAAATTGTAATAATTTTCATTAATTTTTTGTTTATTTTAATAGATTTATTTAATCATATAATATTTTCAGATAATGAAAATACAACATATTTACAAAATACTCTACTATCATTTACATTAGAATGATATATCTCATTTTCTTAATGATCTAAACTTATTGACTATTTTCTAATTCAATTTTATTTTATTTACATAATAGTACAATATAAATATTTAGATCTATGATAAAATAAAGGGAATTTGAAGGATTCTAAGGAAATAACCTTTTATAAACATAATTGCAAAGAAAGACCTATTATTCATATATATTTAATAAATTATAATTCACTTAATTTAAGATGTCATATATAAGTTTTAAGGTGATTATAGAGACTAAATATTCACAAGTAGTTCGAATATGTGGTAATCATCAACTTCTTGGTTAATGGAATCCTCATAATTCTTATCTGTTATCCACTTCAAGTGAAACTTACCCTGAATGGAGTCATGATAGCAAAATTCAAATTGATCCAAGTTAATAATCATATTGAATTATTAGGTTTTATATTAGAATTTAAATGTCTAATACAAGATGGGGATAATTATATATGGGAGAATATTCCAAATAGAATTCACAAATGTGATTTTAGGCGTAATTTTCTGTATCTAAAATTTGATAATCCCTCAATGAATATTAGAACATTTTAAAAATATGAAATCTCAAATGAATTTGTTCAAGAAGAGCTAAGTATGTATAAATGTTAATTTAATTTTAGTGAAAGTTTAAAAAATGAATAGATCAAGAGATTATAATCCATTTGAGAATGTTTTAGATTCAGTATGATAATCTTTAAATATTAAGTCTGATAATGAAAGTATTCCAGAATTAGCAAAAGAAGTAAGAGGTCCCATAAGTATTCGTTAATTAGAAACTGATTGGAGAGAGTTAATTAAAGTAATACAATATTTTAATACAATTAGAGTCATTTTGAATGTAAACATAAATTAAAGTCAATATCTAAATTTAGAAAAATATCTGAACAATATGGATAATCTGATTTGATATTTGATTACAAAAGGAAACGATCTTCTTCAACTTAAATATTCTCAGATTCTTATGTAATTTGTTTGTCATTGAAGATACCTATAAAAATAACTTTAATTGATTAATTTTAATAAGTGACAAATAAAAAGGGTATATTGAATATAATTATAATCTAGATATAACAAATAAATATAAGTTTGAATTGACATCAGATCCTTATTATATAAATATGTACAATCTATTTAGCAACAAATTAAGTTTGAAGGCAATTTGGATTGGATGGATTGGAATATAAGTAATGGATGAAAATGAATATATACTAATATAATAACATATGTATGAATAGTACAAATGCTTTGGAATTTAATTAGATGAAGATTTATTAGGTTGTTTTTCTTAATTAATAAGTCCAATCTTTAATAATTTAACTCCATAATTAAGATTACATTCAGAGGATGATTATATGGAAATCAATAAAATATTTGCAAAATATGTCTAAGAAGCTTTAAATTGTACATTATTTCAAAATTAATTTTGTCATTTGCATTCTATTTTCATATTTGATTATCATCTATTTTTGATTCCAATCTATATAAAGGAAGGATTAATAAGAAAAAATGAAAATAGACCAAGAATATGTATAATAATGAGAAGATCATTTCCAAATCCAAAATAATTTAGAATTTTATCTTGTAGTGAAACTATATTATCATCAATATTAATGAGTGATTTAATCTCATTAATATAATTGAAAGATTTGCATTAATTTGTGCATTGTTTACCTTAAAAATATCAAAAATTAACTTAAGTATCTGGTGTAAGTGCATTTACAATAGAAGTATTAGGTAGAAAAATCATTTTAGATTATGGAAGTGTAGGTTTAAATATAAGTTAATTATAAAAATTAATAACAGTAGATGAAACAATTTAAGAAGAATAATTAACACTTCTTGGAGTTGATAGTTTATCATTATTAAGTGGTTTATAATAGAAATTCAAAATAGTAGAGTAGATACATTTATTATAGTAATAGAAGATTTAATTAATTCAAATCTTATATACTAATAATGATGAAGATTATTAGAGTAATATTTAGATATTTAAATATTTAGAAGAAATAAAAACTCTAGCTAAATAAATTAATTAAAATTGTTAATAGGAATTAATTTAAATTAAATTTGATCTCTCTTAAAGTGAATTAATCAATTTATATAAAAAAGCTGATCTTTTCATAAAGACATCTTTAAGGGAAAGCATATCTTCTAATTATTTAGAATATATATATATTAGATAATTTAAAAAGAAGACAGCAAAATTAGTCTTGAGTTAATGGTGTTCATTAAAAGTTGATCATAAAAAAATCAATCCAAATAATACTATAGAATCAGCTTAAGCAATATTGAATTACTTAAATGATAAAAAACCAACATTTATTAATGTTCCAAATAGTAATGATTGGTTACATAGATTGAATGATCATTTAAGTTATTGTGAGGATTTTTGGTTTGATAAATAATTATATGATTCAGCAAAAGAATTAACAATAGGATTAAAAGATAAAAATTTTTGTTCAATTGAAACAACTAATATAATTTCTAAATTTGCTAATACTAATTATTAAGATAATTAAAGAATTATTATACTTGCTTATACTCAAAGATTTGTATAGAAAATCTAAAAATTAGATTAATTAGTCTAAGCATTAGAAAAATTAGCATAAGATGAGAATAATACTCTAATTATTGTATCTGATTAATAATGTGAAGTTTTAGAATTGAATTTTGGATCAATCAATAATTTATATATTATTGCTTAAGATGGATTATTTATAAAATAAAATAATCAAACTACTTTTTAATAAATTGTAGAAAGAGATGATTAAATAGAAGTAAAATTATAATAATTATCATTTATGGAACATTTAAATTTAATAGAGAAAAATTAAATTTATACATTGTCTTTAAAAGAGAAAATTATAGATACAAATGCTGCTGCAAATGTTTTCTTTTCTAATTTAATTAAAGAATTAAAGGTAGAATTTGATGATTATTTGATTTTATAAGAGAATTATACTTTATAGATTAAACATTAATATTAATAGATAGATGAATTATTAAAGATGATAATAATAAATGAAACAAATTAAAAGGGATTGGTGTCATTTGCAAATATTATTTCATTTGATAGAAGATTATTAGAAAAGATTATGTTTATATTTTAATCTGCCAATATGCCATTAAACAAAGTATTATATAAATTTAATTATAGAAATTTCATTGTGTCTCTATATCAGATTAAGTGGAAAAGAATAGTAATTTAGTTATAGAATCTACATAAGATATAATTAAATTGCTGAATAGATATGTTTTAGAAAGTTAAGATCAAAAAATGAAAACTAATTTATTTAACTACAATCATCCTAATAATTGAACAAAATTATGTGGAAAGTATCCTTTGACTTAATTCTTATCTTCACCATACCACCATCCATTTGTTGTCTTTTTTAATAGTTTAATTTAATCTCCCTTCTTGAAACTCAAATCAATATCCTATTAATATTATAATATGCATATACTTTTTAAGCTTTATAATCATATTTAGCTATTACAAATTGACAATTATTTTATTAATTTTCTTTGTTTCTTTTTGTTGATTTGTCTTACTCTTTTTAAATTTATTAATCTAAATATCTTAAACTATGAACAGATGAACATCGATCTTTATTTGTAGGTGCTTCTTTCATTAGAGAATCAAAAACAGTTGGTTCATTTTCATCTTATTTAAATGATTAAAAATAATGAGGAGCTTAATTAATTTCAGGTTTGATTCTTTTAGCAGCATTCATTTATAATGGCATCTAATTTCTTTGTTTTTCTTTACTAATAGGTCTTTATTTATCAACAGTTTCTAAATCTGTAAAATAAGGACTACCTAATTATGAATCTGAGAATGGTTCACTTGATTCAAGAAATGAATTAAATTATTCTTATAAAGATGTATTTTTATTTTATTTTGGTACATCACCTATTGGTATATTATTATTATTATTATTTCCATGAATATTCTTTTTTATTAGATTATTATTTTTATTTCGAAATGATAATTCTGGAGATTCATTCAATTTTAATTCTTCTAATGTTTCAAAAAATCCATTCACATCAAATTCTTCTGGAAGTAAACAATTTCTTAATGCAGGTAAATTTAAATTCTGTGTTTTAGAAATAAATTCAAAAATAAAGGATGTTGAATGTTTGGATAATTAAATTAAAATATCATATGCATTACTTAAATGTGGTTAAAAAGTTTACACTGATTTTTAAAAGAATGTTAAGAATTCTATACTTAATAAACAATTTTCACAAATAAAAGATTTTAAACCATTATTAATATTAATTTAATCTTACAATTATTTTGTTAGCAATTCATTTTTCTTTTATTCCATCTATAAATTTTATTACATTGTTTTCATTGATTAAATTTTCTCATTTATTTTTATTAACTCATTTTAATAAGTTTGACGTTCATTGCTTAAATTACTATTAATTTCTTTATTCTAACGTTCTAAAGTAGTTATTTTCTTTTTTAGATCTCCTATAGTAACTTACAATTTTGAAGATTAATCTTTGAGTTCTTAATTCTCTAATTTAATTTTCTCATAATATTCATCTTTATTTAAGATATTTTCAATTATCATATTTGCCATGGCATTACTAGAATTCAAAAATATATTATCTTGATCTGTGATTTAATTAAAATTCAATTTTCTGTTACTCTTCTATTTCTAAGGTGTTCTTTTAGGTGACATTGATTTAGTTTATTTTTAGTTTGCTTAAGCATTCTCTAATATCTATAGTAATTCTTATTTCTTATTTTATTATCGAATAGGTTCTTTTTTTGTTAATATTTATATCTATGTTTATAGTTGCTGTAAAGATTATTAATTTACAGGCAATACACCATCAACACTTTAATTTAATTTTTGATGTTGAGAGAATGCACCAGGCTTAATTTGTAATTTACTATTTGGAACTAATTTCTATAGTGAATACATTTTAAAATTAAATTAATCGTTATATGCATGTCTTTTTAAAACAAAAAATCACTCAATTGATTTAAAAACAATAGCACATCTATTTGGTAAATATATTTTTATATGATTAGGTCTCCCTTGCCATTCTTCCTTTATTATTGGGAAATTGTGATCATATGATGGTGATACTCTTGAATGTCCTCCAAATCTTACATCATCAGTATCCAAAACGATTTTATGATCTGATTCAAATTTAGTGCCAACCTTAAAATGTTCATATGACTAATTATCAAATAACACATAATACTTAAGTAGGATGGAAATTAAATACAAAGAGTAGAGATCCTCTTTCAAATACAATAACTTTAATTTCATTATGTTTTTCAGTTACCCACTATTCGCCATTAGGTAACCATGGATATTTATTTTCAAGGTTAATCATTTCAGTATCAAATTATAAGAGTCTAGAATATCTTAATAATTAGTCATCAGCTAAATCCCATCTTCTTCTTGCATGATGATAACTCCATCCATTACCTTCTCTTGGAAAATCAATCCATTCAGGATGTCCAAATTCATTCCCCATGAAATTTAAGTATCCTTCTCCACCTAATGCAAATGTAATCAATCTCAACATTTTATGTAATGCCATTCCTCTAAAAGTAACTAGGGTTTCTGGCTAAATGGTACTCATTTCACTATAAATTTCCTTATCAAAGAGCCACATTGAGAGAGTCTTATCTCCCACTAATGCCTAGTCATGAGATTCAGCATAACAAATGCATTTTTCTAAATAACGTCTATTAGTAAGTGTATGTGTGATATCCCCCATATCCCAATCATCATCTTTATATTCCTTAAGTAATTTAATCCATTTATCAGGAACAGCCATTGCCATTCTATAATCAAATCCAATTCCCCCCTCTTTAATGTTACGACATAATGTTGGATAACCAGACACATCTTCAGCTATAGTAATTGCATTAGGATTAATTTCATGTATGAGATCATTTGCCAACATCAAATATACTAATGAATCTATATCAGCTAATTCATTAAAGTATTCATGATATCCTCCTGTGAAACCATAACCATTTCCATGATGAACATATAACATAGATGTAACACCATCAAATCTAAATCCATCAAATTAATATTCATTAATCCACCATGATAAATTAGATAATAGAAATCTTATCACTTCCCATTTAGAATAATCAAATAATTTAGAATCCCATAATTCATGTTTACCCTTACCACCAGCATGGAAATATTAATAATCAGTACCATCCCATTAATTAATACCATCTAAAACATTACTTGATGCATGACTATGAACCAAATCCATTAATACAGTAATTCCATGAGAATGTGCTGTGTCAATCAACTCTTTTAAGTCATCTGGAGTACCAAATCTACTGCTAACAGCAAAGAAGTTGGTAACATGGTATCCAAAGCTTCCATAATAAGCATGTTCTTATATAGCCATTATTTAAATCACATTATATCCTAATTTAACAACTCTTGGCAAAACTGTTTATGTGAATTCTTTGAAAGTATGTACTCTTGGTTCAATACCAGCCATTCCTATATGTACTTCATATATTTTTAAACATCTAGGCTTTGGTGGTCTGTTATTCTTAAATTCATATTTGTTTTCTGGATTGTAGAATACTCCGTCATATAACTTAAATATGTTATTATTCATTAAATACTTTATTCTCTTGATTCTACCAAGTAGTTCTAATCCAAGCTGGAATTCTGTATTAATATTGATTATTAGCATCCTTTATGTATGTTTTGACTCGTGAACCATGTGGAATCAAATATGAACCATCTTCATTTCTTGGTAAAAATATTTCCCAATTTCCAAAAGAATCTGAAGTTAGAGAATATTGCATTTTATCCCAATTATTGAAATCACCTGTTAAATATACTTCTTTAGCTCCAGGAGCCCATTCTTTATATGTAATCCCAGTGTCAGAGATCAAAAACCCATATTTTTCGTAACTAATATTTATAGATCCAGTTACCCCTTGGCAAAATCTTTTAAAGATGATTCTACTTTGACTATCTATTCAAGTAATTCAAAGAATTTTGCATTTCTTACTTAGAAGTGCTATTTATGTGGTTCAAGATAAGGATCATCCTTAAATACTTGTAATTCATCGACATTTTTTTGGTAGCGTTGTGTGAATTCTTCGTTTTCTAATACGGATTGCTATGCTATTTACAATAGTCTTACTTAATAAAAGAGGGAGTTCTTTTTTTGTAATCTTCTTCCTGGAACATTTTTATTAGAAAGAGCACTTCCTTAATCAATATATTGCATTATTAAATTATTATTGGTGTTTTTTAATAAGAAATAGGTTGTTATCAATATGTAGATTATTAAAATGAAAAAAACTATTCTTTTTCTTTTTACAGAGTGTTTCAAAGTCAACAAGAAAAATACAATAATTGAATATCTAATATATATATAATTAATTTAAAATGGCTGGAGAGAAATTATAAAGTTCAGGTAAACGCAAATGTCAACTTAAATGTCCTGATCATTAATTCAATCTCCAACCTAAAAGTACAAAATGTTGGCTAAAAAATATTACTAACATTGATTTTTGCCCTTTATATAATGATGCAGTATAAGATCTAAATAAATTGTGTTTAGTTATCTTGTTATGAAAATATAGTTCCTGTTTTCAATTAAGATGAATAGTAATGTTTACCAGGGTTCATTTTAGAAGTGGATCGAGTATAATTTAAATGAATACATTAATTAGAATGACTATATAAAGAGTATGTAGAAATATAAAGAGGATCATTTAAAAAAGGTTTAGGAGTATACCACAAAAAAAACCAAATTAGTATTACTTTATTATATATTTAGCAAATTCCTAAGCCTGGTAGAAAACACAGATATTGTGGAGTTTGTCGTAAACCTTATGTAGATTATTTGGATGTAATTTTAGGAATTTAATAATTTAGCATATCAAATCTGCAGATCATATAAACAGTTTTAATAGACATGAATTTGTTCATGTTATATTAAAAATAGTAAATGAAGATTATAAAAATAAAGATGAGAATAAAATTTAAAATGATATCTGTTTTGATGTTGCTACATCAGCAATTCCTAAAAAAAGAGGACCAAAACCAAAAAATCAAGGTCAACAAATAGAACCAAAAAAAAGAGGAAGAAAACCTACTGAACCATCTATATCTAAACGATTGAAAGCACAACCTATTCAAGAATAATATAATCCTTATAGACCTCAATAAACTCCATATTTTCCATAACATTATATTTTTCCTTATCCAACATAATTGAATCAAATGTTTGCTCAATTACCATATCAATAACTTGTCAATATTCCCTTTCAAATCCAATTAGGATAAGATCTCAATATTGAAAGAAAGAATGAGGATATGAGTAAGATATTGTATTTAAACTAATTTTAGATGGATAAATTGAAGAAGGTCCTCGATTTGATTGAAAATATAATCTATAAAAAACATTATAGAATTTTTAAGGTTCAAGCTATATTATTATTGAAAAAAAAACTGATAAACTAAGTATTTAGTTTTTGCCCAAAATTCTGTTTCTAACATTAGTGAGTATTGAGTAATTCTTTGTGTTACATACAAAGATTCAAGGATTGAAATTTTAATTAATAAAATAAACAAATATGGCAGAAGAATAACACTTGAATGAGGATTCTAAAAAGAATGTAGGTTAAATGGGAGCCAAAGTAGTTCCACGAGGTTCAAAAGAAATTTCTAACATATTGGGAGATCGTAGATCTTCCTATAATGTAGATGGGATTGATCATGTAGTTGTTGATGAGTAATTATACATATTAATTGCAGAATCACTGATCAAAAACAAGTTGGAATTCCACTGATAGATAAGGTTGTTATTATTTTGGTTGTCCTCTTTACGTTACTGGTATTCATTAACTTCTCATTTACATGTAACTTACTTTGTAATAATTTGTATAGCTAATGATGCTAAAGAAGATCCTGACATAGAAAAGACTTTATTTATAACTAAAATAATTGAATTAGTCATTCTCATTCTATTTGTTATAGAAATATCATTCCGATGTATCAATGTTGGACCTATAGTATATGACATTTATATAAATTAGACATATTTTTCAGATTTATGGTCTGTTTTTGATGCTTTAATTATAGTTGCTTCAATCGTATTAATTATTCTCGATCTAAATTTAGAAGGTGAAGCATTTACAACTATAAGCAAGGTTTTAAGAGGAATCTTCAGATTCTTAAGGCTATTTTTAGTTTTTCGAAAAGTAAATTTCTATAATATATATTTTAAAACAGTTTAATCAAGTCAAAAAGATAAATAATGCAGGGACTAGATATGTTGTTCGTTCCCCAGTTGAGAAAGTGATTGAAATAATGAGAGATCTTGCTGATCAATTTGAGGATCCAGATATTATAAAACAATTGAATTGGGGAATAACTCATATTTCTAATAATACTGTTTATGAACCAATTATTGAAGGTAAAAAGAGTGAAGCTTTGGGATGGCTTAATTAACCACAATAATAATAATAGATTTCTTAGGAATTAAAACGTTCAATGTCATCTGATATATAATTTAATGATGAATCTCATTTGCCAGAATAATTAAAATAAGATTTTGAATAAAACATCTTAAATCTAGATTATGATTACTTTTCTCTTTTTTAAAAATATGATAGTTCCATACTGACTCATTTAATGTGTTATTATTTTCAAAAAGAATAATTGTTCAGTAATTTGAGAATATCTCCAGACTCTTTTAAGAAATGTGTTGATAAATTAGCATTAAGTTATCATAAAGAGAATTTATACCATAATGTAATTCATGCCTTTGATGTCACTCATACTGTTTATTTTTTCATTCAAAGATGCAACTTTAAAGAAATAGGTAAATTATCGAAATTAGATTATTCTATTCTCTTATTATCTGCTGCAGCACATGATGTTGATCATCCTGGTTTAAATAACATTTTCTTATCAAATACTAGACATGAATTGGCTATGACATATAATGATAAGTCTCCACTTGAATAACATCATGCATCTACTTTATTTAGATATATTAGAGAAACAGATTTATTGGTTAATTTTACATTATCAGATTTTAAATACTTTAGAGAAAAATCAATTAATATGATTTTAAGTACTGACAATGCTATGCATGGAAAAGGTATTGAATTTTAATTTCATTAGATTTTAATAAATTAAAAGCAAGATTGGCTTCAAATGATTTTGATCCTGGATCTAAAGATAAAGGAATTTGTTTTGATACATTATTACATGCTGCAGATATTAGTAATCCTTTTAAACCAATGAAAAATTATGAGTAATGGACATTTAGAGTTCTTGGAGAATTTTGGCTTCAAGGTGATAAAGAAAAGGAATTAGGTCTTCCAGTAACAATGCTTTGTGATAGAAGAACAACAAATGTTGCTAAAAGTTAATTAGGATTTATTGACTTTATGGTAAATAAAGTGAAAAATATTTATAGGTTCTTCCATATTACAATACTCTATCACAAATACTTCCATAATTATCTGAATTTATTGAATAAATCACAGAAAACAAAAAAGCATGGGCTGAATAGATAGAGCATTATCAAACTCTATTAAATACATAATGAATTGTTAATATTTCTAATTAATAATTGTTAGTAGTCATTCTCAATAAAAATATATTATTTTATTTATTCAAATTAATTCGAGTTTTAATAGAAATGTATTTTTATATTTTCAAATGAAATACATTTGTAAATATACAAATAAATATATAATAATATAATTTTTAAATTAATAATATATACATATATAAATATTTTTTATGTTAATTTTTTTATTGAATATTCAAGAATCTTTCCATTATAATAATTTTTCTCTGTCAAGACATCCTTCATACATTCTTTTAACATATTTTATTTATGGTTTTATGTCTTGTTGTTTATCTGATTACAGTAAGTCATCCAAAAAATCAAAACTGGTTAAATATTTGATTGCTTCTTCTCTGCAATATGACTCATCTAAAAGGTTTCTTAATGAATTAAGTGTAAATTAAAATTTTTTTCTACTATATTTATCAAGCTTATTTTTCAATTCACATCTTGTAATTGAATTTTACTCATCTTATAATTTACTTTATATTCTTTTTAAAATGTGTCTACCAAAATAATTAGGTAAGTTTTTGGTTTCTACTTACTAATTTTGTTATTTCTTTTTTTTTTATTCAACTATGATGATATCATTAGTTCTCTTCTTTTATTTAGTGTTTACTATTTTCTCTGTAGTTATTTAAGGCTTCACTATTTTCTATTTTACATCACCCTATCTAGAATAATCATCATCACTACTCTTGCCTACAGAATTTTTAGGAGATTAATTTTAATAAGATAGCATATCTTCCTCCATTTGATTGGATTCATCTTATAAATTCCAACCTATATCATTGATTTAGACTTATTATTCAGAAATTAATCGTATTTTTTAAATTTCTTTTTTGTTATATTATTCATCTTATTACTAAACATTTTCTTCATTTATACTATTTAATGAAGATAGTAGATAATTACAACTATCATTTTCATAATTATTCCTATCATTTTGAATATTATAATCTTCACTTTCGTAAGACATTATCTAACAAATGTTATTTTAATTAATAAATAATGAATTAATGATATTAATTTTTATATCAAAAATTTATCTATCTGCTAGTATGTTAGTTAAGATAGTTTAAATAATTATAATAAATATTAATTTTACTTCACAATTATAAAAAATATTAGAATGCTATTAAATTATGTAAAGCATAACATCAAAAATTTTTCGATATTCTATTTGAAAAAGTTGTAGATAGAGCACTATAATAATATTTTATAAATATCATTTATCAAGAAAATTTAACATAGAAATTATGGTAATGATATGTGACTTCTACTAATAATCTAGAATGAATAAACAATTCTTGAAATTTTAAAGTAATAATAAACAAATTGAGCTATTCCAAATTAAAAGATTTAATATATTAATTTTATGGATAAATTATAATACATTTCTATTCTTTAAAATTATATTATGGTCTTTATATTTAAAAACTTTAAATATACTAATATTTTCTTATTTTGATTCTTATTATTGAGTTTCTAATTATAAATGAATTAAACTTAACTTAAGATATTATTAGATTTATTTATATCTATAATGTTATTAATATGATATAAATTAATTAGAAAAGTTTATGATAATAAGCTTTATCTATTCACATAGCAAGAAATAAATTATTATTATTATTATTATTATTATTATTTAAGATTTGTATAAAAGATATAAATAATATAGTTCAAGTATCATAAAGGATATAAATAATTTTATTAATTTTTAGCAAATCATGTTTCGATATTATTTATTATTTTTCATTAAAATTTGATTATCTTTTCATGACATGGATATATATTATTAAATATTTGACTCATTTATAAAGTTTTCTTGAATTATTAAATAGAATGGGAATAAATTGAATAGAAGTATGTAATGATATATATTTTTGAGGATGATAGTTATTTGGTTAAAGCATTTTATGTGATTTAAAATTTGTAATTATACGTTAATTTTAATAACGAATTTAATGAATATTGTAGAGAATGTTGAGGAAGAGTACAATGAATAGAATTAAGGTACTTCTCATTAACCAGAGAGATTAAATGATAATATTAGTAGAAATGTTTTCTTTGATTCAAATAATCTTCCATAAGTAATGATTAAGATTATAAATTTAACAGGTTGAGTGCTACTATCACAAAGGATATTATATATCTAATATGTGTAGGGCTCCTTAATGTATTATACCTTTGTGTCCATTATGTATTCATCTACATTCTAAAGAGCATGTAAATGAAGGCACTTATCCAGTTTTTGAATCTTTAGAAGTGTTATTAAATTAAGCAAGTGATCATGTTAATAATGAATGTAAGAATGAGATGATATATATTAATTTATAGTAAAGAAATTCACTAACTCGTATTATGATATCAAGAAGCATGTGAATACATTTGAGGTTCATGCTGAGAAAACTATAAAGAAAATTCGAGAAATAAAAAAACGTATAATCGATGTAGTTGAATAATTCTTCAGTGGTCTTGAGAATGAGGTTGAACATAAATAGAAAAAGAATGTAAATAATCAAGAACGAGATGCTAGAAATTTATTATAAATGATAGAAGAGAGATGGAGTTCAATGAAATAGATGTTGGTAACATTTTAATCAAGTGATTGTCTTACTGCTTTGATTCCATATTTTACAACAACATTTCAAGAAGACAATTAAGTATATTATAAGAAAATAGGAGAATATATAAATGCATTCCCAACTGTGAGTAGTGAAGTATAAATAGATCAACATAGAGCGTATATTATTTAATAACAATATTATAGATCAGAATTAAGTTTATTTCTACAATCTATCATCAAAGTATAACATACTTCTATTCCTGATTTTATTGGTATACATCAATTACCAACAACAAATGTTACAGAAAGCACAAAAATAAGATCACTTTAAGGGAGTAGAATAAAAGAACCTTTGAGAGTTACAATTCCTGAAAAGAAAACATAATTTGAAAATAACTAATAATAATGTCCAAAGGCACCTCCAGGTAAAGTTCATAGAAGTCCTTAACCTTTTCATTAATCTCTTCCATTACATCCAGGACATCCACCATTACCAATTCATCCTTAATATTTCCCTTAAACACATTTTGTACCACCTTATCATAGGTTTTGAAATATTAATATAATATTTTATTATTATGGATAAATTATTATAAAGAGAAATTCGGAATCATTTCTAAAATGAAAATTATAAGGCTGATGTTATAGATATGATTGAGAAGGATGAAGAATTAATCAAGAAATGTTATGATAAGATGGATGATGTAATATATAATTATTTATTTAGTGGCAATCATAAACAGAAGAAGATTTTCTAAAAAAGAAACTGCAAATGCTTGGCTTATGTGAAAAAAAAGGATTAGATGGATAAGTGATGCTTTATCCAACAATAAAGAAATAAAGAGTATTAAATAGAGATGAATTCAAAGGGATGGTTGATAGATTATATAAAGTAAAGAAGATGTCAGATAATGATTTTGTTCATCTCAATTAAACAGCCAGAAAATAAATTCAATAAATGAAGGCTAAATAACAGATGATTTAAAAATAAAAGAACAAAAATACAAAATAAGAATCATTCTTCGATATGATATCAGATTCATCTGAAGATCAAGTTGAATGAAAATATTACATCTTATTCAATAGATTTTGATCATATTAATAAAATAATTTACTATCTTTAAAATATTCTTATATTACATAAATAATATCAAAATTCTTTTAAATAATTATCAATAAAAACTGAATTAAAAAGAAAGACTTTAGAAAAGATTATAATATTTTAATATAAAAATAATAATAATACTTTAAAATATTGAAATTCATTTATATCAAATTGATTACACATTTTTATATTTATATAATTAATTCTAAAATTTATATTTATAAATTTAAAATATAATCAATATATTTATCAATTTATAGATATATTAATTGAAAAAAGAATGAATTAAAAACAAATAAAGTATTTCTTCAAATATTGTATATTAATATACAAAATATATTCATGATCTTCAAAATACTTAAGGCAAAGCACTTTTACATAATGGGCAAGAAAGATTTATTAACATCCATTAACTCAAACAAGAAGGATGAAATTAATGATTCTAATTTAATTATATATATAATTTACACAAGGAGTGTTCATTAATAAATGATTTCGAGATGCTTAATTAATTGTTTATAGTATATATGGCTCCCCTTTATTCAATGTATTTTCAGGAGTTTATGATAGATTAATTAAACATATAGCACAATCTGATTATAAATGTTCATCTGTTTATTTAATGAAGTAATTATGTATATTCCTTTTTAATATAAACCATCCAAATTGATTTTAACAATAATAAACTAAAAGCTAAATCAATAGAATAAGCACTATAGCATAAACTACATGAACTTTTTGCACAAGCTATAATATATTTTGAGAACATCCTCTTGCATATATTGATAGTAATATTCTTGGAAATATTGCTCCAATATAATATTTATTGAATCTCTATCTTTCTCCTGAAAAAAATGTAATTATTATTTAAGGAATTAAAAATAGATTCATTATAGTTAATTCAGTTGAATGTCTAATTCTTAAAAATAAAAAAGTGACAGATAATATTTCAATAATCTGCAAAAATAAATATCTTTTCTATAATCTCTTCATATTCTAAATTGATTTTATTATAATTACAGATAACTTTGCCTTTAATTTAAGATCATAAAAAATTGCTATTAATTAACAAAGTAAACAAGGTAGGAAATAATAAAACCTTGGAATATCAAAAAGCAATGAACTAAAAATACATATGAATATGTCTTATGTCAATATTATTGATATTGTCATTGAGGCACCTTAATTTTCTGCTGGATCAGATCTTAAATATAAATGAGAGCTAATTATTTAAACTAAAGATATAAATATGATTAGCATAGTATATGATAAAACTTGTATTTAGTAAACTGAATTACTGAATATGAATAGTCTAATTCTCTCTTCAGTTACATTACATTCCTCTGCAAATTAACTATGTAGTATTGTCGTTTGAGTTGAAACCTCTAATTCAAGTGTAGCTTTACAAATAGAAAGTGGATGTCTCTAACTATTTTATAATTCAACTATAACATCTATATTCTGCCATGTCATTAATCTAAATATTTTTCAATATGGATACCTTTTAACTGTATCATAATAATATGAACTGTTTGAAAGTTAATAGCTAAGCCTAAAATAGTGTTTTTCATGTAACAAATTGTGTTTTTTAGGATAGACTTACATTATCAGATTTTGATTATCATAAACTATATTGATGTAAACTAAGTAATCCGAGCTTGCCGTCCATTAACCAATAATTAATTGATCTTAATTTTAAACCAAATATTTATAAGCTTAATCTAAATCACTCTAAAAGTTACTTACTGGAAACCATACCTCACTAATTACGTAGCCAATTATGCATGCATATATAATGATAATCATTAAACTTAATTTATTTTAATTAATTATTTATTAGATATATATATATGAATGACCCCTATTAATATGTAATAACATATATAACATAACTTTAGTTACATATAAAAAATAATTAATATAATGCTTATTGAATCAATATAAATCAATCATAAAAACCAAATAATTAATTTTTAATAATACAATTTATCTTAATAATCCTGGATGATTATAAAATAGTGTTGTCTCAATATATGAAAATAATAAATTAAAATATTTAAAATTATTATTTTTCAATAATAAAAAAATATTAATTTATATAATTAAATCAATTCAATTTATATTCAATAGTTAATGTAATGAATTATAATAGTATATATTTATATATTCGTTAGAATTAATAATACTCATTAAATTAATTAAATGTATAATAATATTTATCTATAAAATTTGCTACTCTAAATAAAATAACATAAAAATTATTTATAATCAATAATCAAATAGAGAATAAGGAGTTTATTGAATTTATAAATAAATTTTAGAATTTCTTAAAATCTTTTAATAATGTAATATTGAAATTGTAAGATAAGGACACATACGGTTATCACAATTAAAACTATTAATTTTGATTATAAAATTGCCATAATCATTTATTAATAATCTTCACTCTTTTTTCTTTTTGATTACTTAACAAAATTCTTCAAGGTTGTGCCTGAAAAGCACATTGACATTAGTTTTCGATTCTTTTATAATTCCAAAATTCCACAAACATTTGCCAAAAAACTCCTTACAGAAGATACTTCCTCCTGGAGTTTATATAAATTTGAATAATTCAAATTTTGATAATTTTTCTACTTCTACTTATAAGAACTATCTAATATCTTTATCATCTTTCAATTTTTATAATTGAAGGTCTTCTGTCTAATCAAAAACATTTTTAATAAATATTTTTAATTATCTAGCATAACATTTAGGTAAATTCTTACTTTCTCCTGGCAATATTGAATCAACGTTTAACTAATTAGAATTAAAAAAAATATACTTTAAGAATTTATTTCTTTCTGTTTTTTCTTAATAAATCTTCTTTGAATTCAGATTAATCATCATCTCTAGATTAATAAGAGTAGATTTAATGAGTAGTATTTTTATTAAAAGAATTTTTTTTCTATGTTGCATAATTTAGTTAAGGGAATTCATTCGATTGTTATTCATGTTTATAATCATCATTGGTTTCCTCTATATTTTTTCTGTTTTTCCAAGAGAATTATTTATAGAATTCAAAATCATCACTTTGATATTTCTAAAAAGGATATTAAGGCATATTGAAATAATCATCTTAACAATAACTTTCATCATTCCATATTGAGTTGCCAAAATCATTTTAATAGTTAAACATTTTTTTAATTTTTTTATTTTGATTTTTATTACTTTTCTCTTGCTTTAAAATATTATAATCTAATATAACTTTTAGTTTTGCTAATCATAAGAATTTTATTTAAGATGTTAAAAATATTGTAATATATGATAGACAAGAATTAACAATAAAAAAGTATCAATTTTTTATTCTATTTCGAATTACTAATTAAGTTTGAATTTATTAAATTATTATTATTAAAAATAATATAGTATAATAATATATAAAATTTATGATAGCTAACTGTTAAATTTTATGAACACAAACAAATAAAATCATTAAAAATAGGACTTTTTTGAAGTCTGAGGACCTGTAAAACTTTTTCCTATAGTCAATAGATTATACTAATATATAATATATTAAAATACAAATTATAAAATAAATGATAGGATATACAATCTATACATGAAACAAGCATGTACAATTATAAATTTTGTGTATCTAATTAAGGTAAATTTATCTTTTGCAAAATAATTCTCGATTAAAATATCAGTGGAAAAAATGAGCCAAAATATTAGTAGCTGCTTTTTGGAATCCTTTTACCTTTGAATTTCATAATTTGTTTATAAAATTGCATATCCAATTAACATAATATGACTGATGTATGAAGTTACCATAGAGTAAGCTGCCAAAAACAATAAAAATACAATTGTCAAAAACAGCGCGCTCTTAATTTTCAATCTCTTTTAAAATAACTTAAAGATGAATGATTAATTAATAAATCCAACACCAATATCATCATATAGTGTGTCAAAAGTATATTTTTGTTAAACATGGATCTTTTTAAGGTTTTCTGAGATTCTACTATGTCTTGTAAATTGTTATTCGAACATTATAATTATTAATATTAATATTAATTATTAATAATTCTGATTTCATATATTATAAAGAATAAATTTAATTTGATTACTAAAATCTTTATTTTTAATGCTTTATTAATTTTAGAAGGATGATCTAATTTTAGATTTAATAAAAATTCAATTTATTATATGATGTAATTAATTATAAAATACACAAATAATTATTAATGATAGAAAAAAGAGATGATTTATATGAAATTTAGAATAATTAATATTAATATGTACATTTTAACATTACTTGAAATCATTCTAGTTACAATCTATTGTGCCAAATTAATCAATAATATTTGCTGCAAAGATGTAAACTTTATTGTAAAAGTAACATGTTTAATTTCATGGTTAACAAATTTTATTTTGTTGATTTTGTTACCATTAGATATTTATATAACATTTAGAGATCAAGAATAATTTAATAATCAAGGAGAAGTGCACTCAAAAGAATATGAAGCAATAGCAAATGTAATATATTATCTAAATTAGTTATATCAATTATTATATTGGGCAAATTTCATACTTTGTTGGACAATTATTCCAATTATGTAGGAATATGAAGAAGCAATAGATCTTAATAGAGCTTAGAAGTTTATCAGATCCCTAATCAATAATGGAAAATTTTATCTCATTATTGGAATAGCTGGTATTGCTTTTGTAGTAATACTTGTCATGACAGGTTAAGCTTCAGATTATGGTCTTGCCAAACTACTTAAAAGTATGGCTAATTCTTTTGGTGTTGCTTTAATTATAATTTTGTTAGGGTAATGAAAATCTATTAAAAAAAATTTAGATATTCTTTAATTGCAGTTCCAAGAGCACATATTAGAACTTCTACTTTAGATGTTCAAATGAAATATTTATATTTTAAAACAGCAAAAATTACAGAGGAAAAGGATGATGCTTAACATTATTTACAAGAAAAAGCTAAAAGAGTTGTAGGTATTAGAAATTAAGAGAAATTTTAATAATAATCATCAAAAATATATTTATAGATGAGTCTTAAAGCAATACCTAAAACCATGTTTAAGGAGTTAGTGGAAGAAGATGCTAAATCTAAAGCACCTGGAATTTCTTATTTATAAAGAATGTTTTTTAAAGAATAACCTGAAGCAACAGATGAGGAAGTTATTGAAATCTATAGAGATATTAGATAAAAATCAAGAACATTTAGAAGATTGAGAGCAGCATGGAAGGAGAATTGTAAGAAAGCTTATGCTTTAGAAAATGTTATAAATTCAATTGAAAATCCAGATAAAAAAATTCATTATGATGTTAAATCAAATAAAAGAGAAGGATCTTGTTCTTAAACATTAGATACTTTGGAATGGTATTGGTTATGTCATTATAAGCCTCAATTTAAAATATTTTTTTCTATGAGTTTGAGCATCTTATCATTATTAGTAATTGTATCAGAAACTACATTATTTTTGAATACTCCTTTTTCAATTTTTGGAATGCCTATATCTTTATAATCTGGGGTTATCACATTATAAATATTTTGTTTTGTTCCTTTATTTTATATAGCATTTTGTGTTTATTATGGAATGTTTAGAATTAAAATAGCAGGATGTTATGGATTATATGATGATCATTAAACTGATGCTCCTAGTTTACTATTTGCAACAATAAATTTTAGTAGAGTAGCAGCTCCATTATGTTAAAACTTTTTGAATATGTTGAGAATCAAATAAAGAATGAATTGTGAACCTGCATTCAAATTTGCAATGGGAGAAGTAATTATTATATATAATATATAATATTAGATGGAATTTGTACCAATTTTTGGTGTTAATGTTATTTAATTGATGCCTGCTTTATTACTCTTTTTGTGTTTCATTAATTATTTTGATTTGTATGATAGATTTATGAATTTTCTTGGATTAAAAGAATTTATGTTTACTGAGACATTTTCTGATCGACTTATATTCAGAGGTAGAGATGCTTTGAAAGATAAGAAGGCTTATTTTGTTTAGAAAAAATTGAAAAAGTAAAAGGAGAAATAATAAAAAGAAGGTGACATTGAATTACTTAAATTTCAAAATGATTGAATGTTAATAATTTATATTTTAATGTATTGTATTAATGTATCAATAGACATTGCCTTCAAAAGTTTATTTAAACCATTCCATTGCTTCCTTTTTAGAAACTCTTTAAGCTGTTCCTAATCTTGCATTTCTTGATTTTCTTTAAGCAACTCTTAATCCTGGTCTTGATAATATTACATAGAAATCCATACCAAAAATACCTAAATAACATTTATCATAATAAATACCTGTATATGGATCATATTTTAATCCCAAATCAATATGTTCTTATATACCAAATCCAAAGTTTCCTGAATCAGAGAAGTTTCTCTTCTTTAATTCCATTTCTTTAACTCTTAATCCTCTGAATAAGATATCTTTAGCAGCATCTCCTCTTATTGTGCAAAACACTGAAATTTTTTCATTTCTTCTGATACCAAAAGATCTCACTGTATATCTTGCCTTACCAAATACTGGTTTTTATCCTGTCAAATCCTCCAAAACTTTAGCTGCCTTTGTCAATTTATCTCCAGATTCTCCTGCACAAATGTGAACCATTAATTTTTCAATTCTAATCTTTCTCATAACATTCTCCTTTGTTTCTTAAGGCTTAACAACTTTAGTTGTAGCTGCAGGTTTCCCTTCAGTTTTTGGTTGTTAAGCTTTTCCACCCTTTCCTTATTGTTAAGACATCTAAAATTTAATTAAGAAAAATCTTTATATTTAAAATTCCTTTTTAATGTTTATTTTTTATTTTTCCTTTGCAAATTAAATCAACTTTTTTGATTAAATTATAGAATAAACAATTTACTTTTACAAAATTGAGAAAAGAATATGATTAATTTTATTAGAATAATTTCAAAAGATTAAGTAATTTTGAGTTACTGGTAGAGTAAACTTATTAATATAATAAATCTAGTTGTTTATTATTCATAAATTAAATTTGACCATGATGAACTATATAACTTGATAATTTCATTTTTTATATATTAATTACAAGTTGATTAGATCATAATATTTATTATAATATTATGCCAATTTAATTAAATAAAAATGCTAAGGAATTATTTTCATATCTAATTAAATATATTAAATAAATCCAACAATGGGTGCTGTTTAAGCTTATGTGAATTACAATACTGAAATGACTTTAACCTCTGATTTAAATGCTTAAATTTAATGTTGTGGAACTATATCTCATCCAGCATTTGGTAATATCCAGTTGTGGAAAATGAAGAATAACACTACTCTTGAAATCTTTTCTCTTGTAATAAATATTAATAACTTAAGACAAGGCATATTTATTATTAAGATTCAATATTATTGACAATTCATACATAGAGAACATAATTAAAACATCCTAATCTATTACAATATTATGCATGTACTCAAAATTCTCCCTCTTTTTGTGGAAATGTTGAAACATAGTAATTTTACTTTGAATACATTTCCCAAACACTTTCTTAGTATTTATGTGGAAGATCAGAACCATTCAAAGAAATAGAAGTTTGGAAAGTAATTTTTATATCTTAATTTACTTAGTCACTAGAACAATTAATAAATGTCTTAAAGTATTTGTAATAAAATGGATATTCTCATGGTAAAATTACTTCAGATAATATCTTTATCACTTAAGATTAAACATTAAAAACTTTAGATTAAATTACAATTAAATCAACTTCTTAATAAATTAAATAAGATGTCTATGATTTAGCATAAGTAATGGTAGAGTTAATGACAAAAAAAAGTAAATATAAAATAATATATAGAATTCCATTTGAGTTTAAAAGACACAGTAATTTCATTAATTGATGAATACTCTTAATAACTACTACAATTATTAGCTAGAATGCTTAATAATACACCAGAGAAAAGACCAGATTTCATATAATTATCTGAGATAATGTTGAAAAGATAATATAAATCTACTAACATCGAATAAGATATATAATTATCACCTTAATTAATTAAATTCTAATAATCTAAATAAATAGAAAATTAAAGAATAAATAGATTATTCAATCAAAATATCCAATCAAGATCACCATCACCTTAAAAAATATTACATTATTCACCATAAAGATTATCTCCTTACAAGATTTCACCTTAAAGAGTAAGAATACTTTCACCAATTAAAAAAGAGCCATTTTACTCATCAATTAATTAATCCTTTCAACAATTAAGTGGAATTTATAGAACAGAAAGTCCAATTAAAGGAAATATAACTGGTTCATAAGCATCAACTATAGGTAGCTATGGTGTATCAGTAATTGATACTTATAATACTAAATATGCTTTCTATACTTAGAGAGGTTGTAGACCTAATAAAATTTTAATCCCTCAACATAAAAGTGATGTGAAAAGGAATTTATTTAAAGAAGATTTAAATTAGACTTCTTCTAGTTAACCTCCAATAGAGATTGTATTATGAAAAATTTAAGATTAAAAATAATAATAAAAATTAGATATCTATTTAAGATATTCATGACTCTTCTTCTTAAGACTCAACATTATCAATTTTTTATTCTATAGAGTATACTTTATGTCCTAATTTATTAACTTGTTTGTCAAATTAAAGCATTTTACTAGAAATTATACTAATTAAAGAATATCCAAATGCAAATCCATAGATAATACCATTTTCTGCTTTAAATCCAAATTACATTGCTAAAACAACCCAAACTGCAAAACCATTCTCAATCATTCCAAGTAAACCAAAAGTTAATCCTTAATTTTTATAATTCTCTTTTTACATACCTATAATACTGGCACCAGAGATCTAATTTAGTTTTTATTATTAAATACTGATATAACTGTTAAATAGTATTATTAAAATATTCTAATTATTCCAAATATTATTATTTTTCCAATTTGATCATTAACAATAGAAGTAGATAATAAAATTGATAATAAAAAAAAAACAAAAGAATCTATTGCTTTGTCAATCAATGCTTAAAGAGATATTGTTTCAATTTCAAAATTTTTAATAATTGTTGAAACCAAACTCAAACCTATATATGTAAGAATTATTTACTTATAATAGTTGGTAATTCAAAATACATATAAATTCCAAAAGTCTCAAAAATCTCATCCGCGTGTTTCTTAATAACTTAATTCTCCTAATAAGCTAACCAAATTTTAATAATTCCCATTATTATTCCTGCTGATAAAGCAATCCATGCACTATCAGTTTTGAAAATATTTTTTATAGCATTAAGTAAATTTCCTTTTTATTAAACAGGAATGAACTTAATTTCTGGCATTAACTCTTCAGCCTCTAATTTAAAAAACACAAATGTTTAATGTAGAAATATTGATATTACCAATAATATTATAAAAGGAATAATTGATAAAATAATGATGATTTATTTATTTATTAATAAAAGAGTTTCTGTTGTTAATTTATCTTAAAAATTAATAATTATGTATAGTATTAAGACTATTACAGAACAGAATAATTTTCCACTAAAGCCATATTTTTGAAAATAAGATATTTAATAAGGAATCTAATCTCTCTAATAATGCTTTGAAATTAATGTTAAAATAATAATAGATCCTAACTATTAACCCAATATTAAAAATGCATTTGCAAAATACAAGTAATCTATAATTAATTATTAAGAACAAAGTTACACAATAAATACTAGATAAAAGGCATAGGAAAATAAAATTAATAATTAACTTCCAAATAGTAGATTATATGTATATTAAACATGATCTATTATAAAACCTATTAAAGCTGAAAAAATAAATTTTAAAGCTGTAAGTATAACATAAAAAAAGGTTGAATCTGAGGCTCCAAATAATATAAAATTGCTCATGTATAATGTTTCAACAAATTAATCAACAAAGCTAGTGAAATAAATTAGATGAAATAGCAAAGTCATAGTAATTTTTATATTCATAACTAGGTGCTTTTAATATCAAAAAAATATTATTAGAAAAATATTTATTAATTTAATCATATTTAAAGATAGATCTCCAATATTTTTAGGCTCTAAACTTTGATTTCATATAAATTCTAAAGATTTACAATTAAATAAAAAGAATTTTAACTCTTCACGGTTGTATTAAATTTTGTACACAAAAATTATATTAATATTTTATGCGCAAACTTCTTGTTTTATTCAATAAGATTATGTATTTATAGTTTTTTTATTATCATGAACATATGTAATGAGAACAAGAATGATTAAAAAAATTTGAAATAAGTTTTTATAAGATATTTTATTAATGTATTGTAATTTGTATAGCAACATAATATATTTGTAACAGATTTTGTGTAAGGATTCAAAAGAATAGGCCTTTTAACTAAATTCAACTATTAATTTCAAAATAATCACAAAATAAAAAAAATATATATATACTTTTTGAAATATATATATTTCGAAACAGTTTCTGAAAAAAAGTGATTTCATATGAAGTTTTAAATTACAATCTAAGTACATATATAAAATAGCAACCTATAAATTCAGTAAAAATGGAATAGCAATTTTCTAAAAATGATAGTGTTTTATTGTTTTTCAAAATTAAATTTTACTTTTAATGATGAGCCTTTTTTCATTTTATTTTAATATTGACAATGATATTCTAATCTCATCATTAAAATGCATTTATGAATATTTAGCTTATAAAAGGCTAATAAAGTTTAATTATTGAATGGTTATTATTATTTTATTTCAAAATATAATTTATAAGATATAAAAAGATCAATATCTTCAATTCTTTATGAACAATCAATAAGGACCCTTCTCTACCCCTGCATTTATCATAAAACTTTATGATATGCTAGATGAATAAGTATTTTAATATGATTATATCATAAAGAGCACTCCATAATTTTAAACAATAATTAAGTGGAGTGACGATGGTGAATACTTCTTAGTAATGAATCCCAAAGAAATGGAATCTCAGATTCTACCATAATATTTCAAACACAATCACTACTAATCTTTTTTAAGACAATTAAATATGTATGAGTTCTAGAAGGCACGTAATTCAGAGAATTATGAAATATTTACTCATCCAAATTTCAAAAAAGGAAACAAGTATTAAATTTAATATATAAATAGAAAGCAATTGTCTCAAATTAAAAGAAACCCAATTAAATAGAATGTTTTACTAAAGAAAGAAAAGAAAAATGCAAAAGTAGAATCTACAGAGGCTGAATTTGAATAATAAATGGAATAAGAATTAACATTCTTAAAGTAAAGATAACTTTAATTTGAAAATGATTTCAAAGCCATAAGTGAATAAAACTAAATTATTATGGAACAACATAACTCAATATGGTCATAATTAAGCTTGTCGAGATAATCATTAGATGCAAAAATTGATAGACTTAGCTATTTGCTTAGTTTCTTTCTAAAATAATAAGATATAAACATTAAGGAAAATAATGAATAGGATTTATTTAAAGCAAATGTCAAAACAGAAATTGAACCTCCACAATCATAAACTTAATAAATGGAATCCCTATCTCCAATTCTTAGAATGATGTAATCATAACTCAACTATTCATTGAAGAAAAATTTATCAACATTTAGCCCAAATTAATGTATGATAATAAAACTATTATATTTAGTAAATTCTCCACTACCAATCAGAAGTCAATAAGAAAATTAAGACAGTTAATATTCGAATTTAAGCCCTCTGTATTAGAAGTCATTTTAGGATTACATGTGAATAGACTATTAAACAGAATGATTAATTTTTTCTATATAAACATTATTTTAATTAAAAATTTATTTAATTAAAACACAAATCAAGTTCATTTTGAAAATTGATTATATTTAGATTATAGTTTTTTTGAATGAAATATAAACCTAAGACAAAGATAACAACACTTATTAAATCACTTAATATATGAACTGGAAAATAAGGTAGCACTTCTTATTTTACTTTTGAATTTACTAACAGTTTCTTATTGAGTTTAGGTTTTTTTATGTTTGATATCTAAATCTGTAACATCTTATTCTTTTTTTACAACTTTCCCTTCACTTAATGTATCTTCATCTGGTTCTTCTTGTTCTAATTATATTATTTTTTGGGCATCACTGAATACTAATGTACCATTCTTATCTTCATAATTTCTTAAATGCTATTCCACTGGTCTTACATCATTTTTTTTAGCCATATATTTTAAAAATGGAATTAATTTAAAAAGACAATCATCATCATTTGAATCTAAAAATGATGGAATTAATAATCCATTGTTCTAGTACTTTATAAAAGCATTTGGATTATTCTAATTATTGTTTTTTATTTACATCAATAAAGATTATATCTTCCAAAGGCCTATCTATTAATAATAGATCTTTGTAACAAATCCCATCTATGAAGTGACAGCTTCCTCTTGCAAAATAATCAGTAATTATTTTTTTTTTATCTATAAAACTTAATACTTCTTAACAATAAGCTTCATAACCTGCAGTAAAAATAAAAATTTCAAAATCTTTGCTTGCTTCTAATAAAAATTGATTTAAGTAAGGTCTAGCTTTTAAATATACTTTGTATTCTTATCCTCTGTGTATAACTTTAAGTAAGGCTTCATGTTGAAAATTTTCATTTTCCTTAAATTCACAATGTACTAATGTTTCATCTAAATCTAGAACCAATGCTTTCTTTTAAGTAAATAATTTTGGTGTTTAAGCTGGAATATAATTCTTTGATAACTTTCCTTTAAAATGTTCATAACAATTTTTGAAAAGAGCAATAATACTCATGTATTTATAAATATACTTATAAATAATCAATTATTTATTAAAGATATTATAAAACAGAAGTGATATTACTTTGTATCATTAAGATTAATTAAAATGAAATAAGTGATAAGGAATTTAAAAGGAAAAACCATTATTTAAAAATTACTAAGAATTAATTTTATAATTATAATTGAATGGAAATATAAATATTTTACATATATTAATATAAATTTATATTATAATTTAAACTTTTAGATATGAAATAATTTTGATCTGAAAGAATAACTGTATATTTATTATATCAATTAATTGTGTAAAATAAAGTATAGATTTCTGTATAAGAACAAAAATCTCAATTTTAATGAGTTTATTTAATTATTAATTATAATGTTATCTAAATTTTTTAGATTTTAGATATTATAACATTAATTAAGTTTAATATCATTATATTAGTTTTTAAGAGTTCTTTTCATCCTTCTTCTGATTTACTATCTTTATTCAATAATATAAATTTTTAAATTATTTCTCTCATTTATTAATATAATTATTTTCTAAAAATAATGATAAATAAATATATATTATAGTTAATAATATAATGTCATATAAATAGATATACAAATTTTATTTATATATATAATTTATAAAATACATTTATTTCAATATATAAATTTTTCTCACATTAATAATGAACTGTAGTTTTTTCTAAATAAGTAAATTCTATCATGCTAGTAATATACATTTAAATCATATTGACCAATAAATGATAGTAATTATTAATGTACATTTAATTCTTAAAGATGTGCAATATCTTCGTTCTTTTTCTTATCAACTTCATCAATATTAAGTAGTTATATTGTTGCATCACTGTGATCATTATCATTTTAACCTCCAAAAATTAAGATTGAATTAAAATTGATTTAAAGACAAACACTATTCAATTTGAATATTTAATCTTATCCACTAGTCAATTTTATTTGGTACCACTTATGTCTTTTTGTATCATACCTATAATTGTATATTTTCTAACTTACTTTTCTACAGTTTTATCAAAATGATCGAATCGATTCAATCCTCCAAATCTAATTAAATATCTTTGTTGAAAAACAACTAGATTAACTTTGGTTAAAGGAGTTTAAAATGACTTAATCTTTTACCATTCTAATGTTTTAAGACTAAACCTTTCACAAGCATTAGTTACTTAATTATATTGATTTTCACCACCAATTATATAGATATAATGTCCTACTTGAGCAACTCTGAAATTTCTTTTTTTTTCAATCATATTAGGTAATGCTTAAAGTATAGAGCTTTGTTCATTATATCTATAAAATGTATTATCAGCAACCTTAGAAAATGGATTAAATAAAAATATGATTCCTTCTTTTGTTGCAAAGGAAATCAATTCATTTGTAAATTATTGTTCTACATCACAAATTATCTTTTAAACATTTTCAGCATCTATTTACCATTAAAAGAAAAACTTTGTATTAGGTTTAAAGTAATGTAAAAATTCTTTTTAAGGATCAGTAAAATAATTGACATGATTAAATTCAACATTAGATTTTGAACAATTCAAAGTACAAATTGTAATAGGAGTTATTCTTAAAATTTATTATCCACTTTCAGCAATATATGATCTATGTTTTGGAGGTTAAATATCTAATAAATGTGATTCATTTATTTTTCCTTTAAAACTTAATTCAACTGCCTAATCTAATATTGTTTATTTATATTATTCTGAATTTAATTAATATTTATGATTATATTTTTGAATTGTTTATTATTAATCAGATTATTCTTCCATTAAAGAATGTTCAGCATTTGAAAATGAAAAATTCTCAGCTTCATTTGTTAATGCATCATCAGCTATTTTAATAATATTTTCTGATTTATCAAAATGAAGTGTATTTTATAATTTAGCTTAACTTTTTTCTTCTCTTTTCTTTTCATATTCCTCTTTAAGAGGCAATTTATTATTGGAATTAAGATGATAATTTATAAGTTCTTTATATTGACCTTTCAAAATCTTATTTGCTATATCCAAAGGAACTAACAAAAATGTTTATGCTGCAACAATAGCAGCATTATGATTAGCTTAATCTACTTCGTAATTGAATTAAATATTTGTTACATCATTTTGATTCAAAAATCTAAATAAATGTTACCATATTTGCAATAATTGCATTGTAACTTTAAGTAAATTCAAAGATAAATCATCATTTAATAATTATATTGGAGTTATGTTAATTTATTCCAATTCAATACTATTTAAAACAAATTAAGCTACTTTGTCAAGAGAATTTAAATCAGCTGGATTAAATACTTCTATCTATATTGTTTTATATTGACTTCTAAATTTAATTATATTTATATAAATACATATTTTAACTTCCTCCCATTCCTTTACTACTTGTAAGTAAATCCTCTGAATCTATAAATTAATAGAAATCATGTAATCCTCTTCTAAGATCTATTTCATGTTAAGTTAATAAAGAATAAGGATCCTCTTTATCTATTTCTGATGTCAATATCAAAATCTTATCTTAATAATACTGAATGCTATTTTTCAATGCACAAAATGTTTAGTTATATACTTATTGAACATAACTGAGTTTTCTTTTAACTGCTTATAAATCAATATAATTTTGTATAATATTTTGATCCATCACTTTCTTAATGAAGTAGTATTGAAATAATCGATGTAAGAAATTTTAAAAGATATCATATATTCTACTTTGATTGTCAATTAAATAAGAAAATAGTCCACCTGATTGGGGAAGTAATGTAAATTTTTTAGTCTATAATTTAGGTTGAGATGGAGTATTGATTATTTCAGATAGAATGTGAGAATTCTAAGTCTAGCTAAATTGAGGATAGTTCTCATTATTGTTAGCAAATTCTTATTATTATTCAGCATTTTGTTCTTAAGACATTTGGGAAAAGGATTCATTTAACAAATCTTAAGATATAAAGACTGCCTATTCTGGATTTTCTAAATCTCTAAAACTCATATTAACGGATAATAATTATTAGAATGTGTTTACAATAAATTATGATTATAATCGATTCATTTATAGTAAGATTATATGAATAAGATCATCAATTAATTAATTTTAGTAATACTTATTTAAGCAAATGGATATTCAAAGGTTTTGTGAACACTTCCCTCATTCCAACTTCTAAACATCTTTCAATATCTTCAGTTGAATTAAAAGCTGTCAATCCTATAATGGGTATATCAGGAATAATATTCTATCTAATCATTTCCATTAAAACTTTAGTAGTTGTCCATCCATCCATTATTGGCATTTGACAATCCATTAAAATAAAATAAAATAATTCACAAGATTCAGAACATTTTTCTGTTTTCTAAATAATATCAATTGCTTATTATCCATTGTAAGCCTAAATATAAATATATAATATACAATTTACAAACTAAAACCCATTTGATTAATTATTACTTATAAAGCTTTTTGATTAAAAATATCATCATCTACACTTAAAATACGAGCACATTTACATGCAAATCTTAAATTTTAGAATTATTCTTCCATTTCAATTTCTTATTCTTCTCTTTAAATTAATCTAGATATAAGAGTATTTGGTTTATTACTAGAACAAGCATCTAAATCACATACACTAAATAATGACTATTTTCTTTTTTTAATCTATTTATCATTTGTATCAAAATTTGTTACTATTAAGTTTGTACTTTTACTTTGACTATTTAATTTTAATAATTATTCCTCAGGATAACCTCTTTCTGTATCTTCATCATTCATTAAATCTGTTTCTTATTAAATACTTTGATTTAATACACCTGTTGATTATAAAGGTTTAAAATAATTTGCTACAGAATGTTATTAACGAATTGGAATTTACTAAATAGAATTATCTTATCTAGGATTATTAATTATTAAAATTCCTTATATTCCTAAACATAGATCAGGTACAGTAAATGCACATTTCAAACTTGTTCTTTATAATGTATTTCCTCTGAATATTTATGTATTTGTTTTTTAAGTGGTTCTAATTTTAAAAGTAACTTAACAACCTTCTGCTTAACCACGTGATGTTATTCTTAATTAACTTTTATTCTAAGGGGCTAATTTTAATAAATTCATTTAACTAACAAGTAATCCAAAACCTTCCCATTCATCCTAACTTGAAAAATCTCTACTTTAATTATATGACTTTAAAAACTTTTATATTTTTTATAATTTATTTTATGGTATTCCTATTCCTTGATCTTTTACACAAAATGTCAATGCTTTTTAATAACAAGATATTTCTACAATTATTAATCCTCTTTCAGAATATTTAATAGAATTTTATATTATATTCACTAAAATTTACATAATTCTATCAAAATCAGAATTAATTAATGCTGGAACTGAATTTTTAACATTAATATGTAATCCTAAATTTTTTATTAAACAAATTGGTTTAAAAATATCATTAATTTCTTAAATAATATTTTCAAAATTGAATTCTTGAATATTATATTTAATTAAATGTGAATGATATTAAGTAAAATCTATAATATCTCTAATTAAATAAGCTTATAATTTTAAAGCATTTGCTGCTGGTTCAATACAATTAGTTTTATAGGTATCTTTTATTTTTGGATCATTTAAGAGTGCATCTAAAAACAATTTTGCACTATTTAAAGGAGTTCGCAATTCATGAGAAAAAGAATCAATTATGCGAACTTAAAATTTTTCTCTTGTTTCTAATTTCTATAAATAACTTTGTAATGAAATATCATCAACTATTATAAAATATTCTTAGTCATTTTAACCACAAAAGATTTTGCATTAAATTTTACGAATATTTTCATCTTCAAATAATTATAATTATTTTTATTTTGAAATTTATCCTACTAATTCTAAATGATTTTCCTTTTAATAAATTTAATCCAATTTCCCATTCTATAATTCAATAAGAATATTTTTTAAAGTATTTGAAATCTTTTATTGACTTGAAATCTTGCTATAACTATACAATTAAGAAAAATTATTATTTTAGTATTAATTTTGTTGTTTTTACATTATGATACTAGATTCTCTTACTTACTTTCTCATTCTCTTTATTTATAGTTTAAATTGAAGTTCATTCATTAAATAAGATTAAATATCTTAAATTCCTTCAAATATTTATAATAGAGATTGGTTTTGAAATATAATTTATAAATTCTCTTTTTTTACTATCATAATTCCAACTGGAATATTTTATAATTTAATCATCCATGAATTACTTAATGTATCTTAGACTATATTCATTACTTCTTAATTTCTTTGGGTCTACTTAATTAAATGAGAGGGTAATTCAAAGTCCTAATTTTCTAGTTAAAAATTTGATTTATCTTTTTTTATCATAATTAAAGTACAATAGCATAACAAAATGTATAATATTATGTTTTCACTATGAAATATAAATAAAGAAAATAAAACTGAATTGTAGACAATGTGATATAAAATACTCCTTATTCTTGATTATTTTTTAATAATATATGCTTCTTAAAATTTAAGTAATAAATAAGTGGTTACATTTAATTAACGATTAAGAAAGCAACAATATGAAATATGAATACTAAGTATAGCAAGTATGAGTTGTTGTAGATGATTCTAATTTATTAATTTTTTTCTCAAAATCAAAATTCCAATCAACATTATAGTTGTATTTAGAATCAAAAATATCAATGATCCTAATTAACTGATATCTTATAAATAGAGTATTGATCCCATAACAATATTTAGTACATTTATTGAATGAAATTTTATTAAAATCCAATTAAATTACATTAAATTATATATACTATAAATATATATTATAAATAAAATCATATATAATATTAATTGCATACATAATATAAATTATATTTTTTTTAAATAAAATGATAAATCCATAAATTCTTTATTAACTATATGATTTTAAGTGGAATTCTATTAACTAAAACTGATTTTATATTAATATTTAATTCATTTAAAATATATTAATTTATATAATTTATTTTCATGAATAACTAATAAGAAAATTAAATATCGAATGGAATAGAATATAAAATAGAATAAATTTATGATAACCTTTTGCCTCCAGCTCATTTTAGATCAAATATAAAATTTTATGACGAAGAAAAAGAAATGAGGAGAGATTGTGAAAGCCATTTTTTTAGCAATTATTAAATTGAAAATATCCAATATTAATTAGAAATAGATAAAATAAAAAATGATAAAGAAAAAAGTGCTTAAAAAGGAATATTTCACTTTAATATAAAAAATTGTACTAAATATATCATCTAATTATATTAGTGTTGCCAAAATCATAACTTTTGGATCCTTAACCATACGTGAAAAGTTAATATGGCTGTAAAATATTAAAAACTAAGGCCTCGAACACAAAAATGGAACTTCATTTAGAAAATGATTCTAAAAACAATTAAAAATAATAAATATATGTATTTTTAGGACAAGTTACAGGAAAATTTAAGATTAGATTAAGTAATTATGAATTATTAGAGTACAATATTTGATCTTAAATAGTTTCATATATGAAATATATTCATATAAACATATAAATTATATTTTTAAAGAAAAAGAATAAATATTTTATTAATGTTTTGTTTTTTACATCTTGTTTAATACAATAATATTTATCAAAAACTTAAGTATTTGAATAAATTTATCATATCTAAAAATCAATTTTTACTTTAAATAGTCGACTAAATAATATTAAAAATGATAAAGAAAAAGATTGCTTTACTTCATAATAAATACTAATTAAGCTAATCTGAGGATGAAAAAACACCAGACACAGCTTTAACTTCATTTTCCATAAAGGAATAAATACAAAGTGATGATTCAGATACTGGTACACCCAATAAAATTACTCTAACTCCTCTAAAAATGTCTAAATTCAAAATTTAACACGAAAATAGCAAATCTTTATTTGCACATAATGCTAGGAATTTAGTTATTCGAAGAGATAAATTAGTTGATCATCCATTTAGATAGTTGATTTTTGGATAAAGAACAACATAAGAGATTCTATTCAAGCATATTGAATAAACATAAAGAGGTGTTGTTTATGCTACTTAATCACTGAAACCTCCATCAGAAAAATTCTTGCAGTAAAAAAAGGTGGACGTTCCTTTAAAAGACAAAGAAAAAAAAATTTTGATATTAGATTTAGATGAAACACTGATACATTCTTGTAAAAGCAAAGAGAAATCATAAGTCTAATTAAGAACTGAAGATGGATAATTTGTAATATAAATAGTAATATTTTAGCTTAGATTCAATATTAGACCATATCTTGCATATTTTCTTGATAATTTATCTACATTTTACCAGATATTCATATTTACAGCCTCTTCTCCAGGATATGCATTAGCATTAGTAGATTATATTGATCCACTTGAAGATAAGATATTAGGAATATTTACTAGAAATCATTGTCTCGAAACAAAAAATGGTTATTTTATAAAGGATCTTCGTATCCTTAGAGATGTTGATTTAAAAAACATTATAATTGTTGATAATTTAACTCATTCTTTTGGATTTTAATTAGAAAATGGAATACCAATTCTAGAATGGACAGATGATGAAAAAGATTAAGAATTAAAATATTTAGTTGACTATTTAATTGAAGCCAGTTAATATGAAGATGTCAGAGATTATAATAGACAAAAACTCAAATTATATGAACTTATTGATTATATTTTATGAAAATTATTTATGTTTAATTTTTAATAGTGATCATGAGAACTATATATTTATAGCTAATAATACTCTCATTATTCCTATGCAAATGATTATTCATTATTCTCAACAACTTAAAAAAAACTTCCTTAGTTTCTAATCAGCCTTTGATGCTAGAGGGTGAACATTTCGCGATAAACTTAAACGTTCTAATGATAAGTTAAATTAAAATTGGCGCTCTTCATAATTCAAAACTGATATAAGTTATTGTAATTATTAATCAGGGATTAACATAATTTTATAGGTTTCTGAAATCATTTAAACAACTTCATCCACATTACATTTTACCATATATTTCTCGATAAAATTAATAGCTTTTATTTTAGCTTATTTTTCTATTTCTCTCTCCATCAGCAAATATGAAAGGGTTATTTTTTAACTCTATTTAATTTATTTATCTTCCTAATGTTCCTAATGTGACTCACTTTATTATTATTAAGGTTGAAGTGATAGTGATTAACCATAATAAGAATTATTTTCTTAATACTAATTTTATTGTTGTTGATGAAAATCATGATTATTATTATTATTATTATTATTGTTATTATTATTATTATTATTATTATTATTATTATTATTCCATCGAATTTATTTATTGAGTAATTTTTGTGATTTTTAATCCTTCTTGCTCTATGTACCTATGGATCCTTGTCCAAGCACGTGAATGGCAATGCCCTTGCCAGAATTAGCATTTTTAGTAATGCTTTCAGCAACATTATTATTAATGCCTTTTTAATTAGAGGTCGCTCTTTTCATTGCTAATTCAGGATGTGGACTAACTCTAATTCTTTTATTTTTCGGATTTTCTTCAATAGAGAGTGGATTTAATGACTTATTTTTTTAAAAGAAAAAAGTACATTCTCTGTGCAAATTGATGACATTTCCCATATATCTTAAAAGTCTTCATCAACTAATGAGTTATCATCATAAAAATCTTAACTTCTCTCCTCATCATAGAAAGATAAATTTGAATGGATTTCTGTAGAATTGTATGTTTATTCGAATTCATGACTGAGTTTTCTTTACTTCTATATTTACTTCTCAATTTAAGACATATTAGCTATATTTTGTTTTTTTTGTTTTTTATTTTTATTATTTATTGATAAAACAATACATCTGTGTTACAAACACAATAATAAAAAAGAATTATTCATATAAATTATTAAAGTTTAAAAATTATTTTACACAATATTCATTATAACACAAATATATTTATTATTCATTCATGTTTTAACTAATCTCAGCTTTTTTATGATTTAATGTATATTCATATTGTTTACTTTATGCTCTATATAAATTCTCATATTTCAATAATTAATTTACTATTTCATAATTAGTGTTAGCAACAACAAGAAAAATTGAAATCGGATAAATAACTATCAAACCCAAATTATATACTTATATAAGAAGGAGAAAATTAATTTTGAATAAATTTTAATTCTTTGAATAAAAGTTCTAAATTTTTCGATTTAGTTAGGATTTCAAACTTAAATTTAACTAATTAGATAACTAAAAAACTAAAAAGATTTTAGAAACAATTTAATTTCAAAAATTTTCTTTATAATAGAATCAGTAATATGTTGGAAGCAGATTCTCTTATAAACTTTATAATATTCGTAGAAAATATATAAATATATTTATTTCACATAAGAGAATTTCAATTTGACAAAATATTAGAAAAAAATTAAAAAATTTTGTTAAAGTTTATTAGATGATAATCATATATTAAATTATTTGTTAATTTGAAGATAATAAATTTATTATTAATAAAACCTGAAAGAAACTTAGTTTAGAATTAATAAAAATTAAACAGAAATCCAAAAATTATAATATTATTTTAATATTAATGTAAATTAAATTCTAAATGATAATAAAGAAATTATCTATAAGTGATTACATTCTATCAAAATATTTTAAGTTGTATAATTATTTAAAGTAAACTAAAATATTAATTTTAAATATGATAATTATATTTTATATTTCATTTATTTTGGCATGTGAGATTAGAAGAGATTCAGAATTGATATACCCAACAGAAGGAGAGTTTTATAAGATATATATGGAAAGTCTTTTCTAAGGCCAAAATATGACTTATGAATGTAGAGGATGTCCATATGGAGTATAGTTATAGAACACTTTAAATTAAATTGGCAATAAATTCGAAAGCAGTAATAATAAATTAGTTATTACTAGAAAATCTCTTTAAATCAATATCTTCTAATATAAACAACACTAAATTCGTCGCAATAACAAAAGATCAAGAGGTTATTACATATGGTTGGGATGGTGATTAATTTAATAAATATAAACCATTTAAGATTAAATAAATAGAATATCATTGCTTTAATGCATATTATACTTTAGATAACAATGTTTTAATAGATTGCTATCATAATAATAATTTATTTTTATTTTATTAACTAAATGATTAACTAATTAGAATCTATTAACATTAAAGTTAGCTACCAAAATCAACTAAAATACTTTAATTAATCAATCAAACTTCAGTTTACACACTTTATGGATAGTATTTTTTAGACTATTAAATTTTGACATTATTTCAAGATAGAAAAATATCATATTTAAATATATCAACATGGCAATAGGGATTTTAAGATTTTATTACATCATAAGGATTTAACAGAACAAATTTTATCTATATAAGCAACAATGAAAACTTATTTTAAATAATTATTAATAAAAATGAATAGTTTCAAATTCTTACAAAATTTAATTAAGATGCTTAAATAATAACATTTACTGTATATCAAAGTCTAATTAAGAATTCATAATGTGATTAATTAATTGTGTTATTGGAATCATCAGAAATATATAAGAATTTATAGTATATTTATGCATGTTATATGAATTTTATTGTAGATAGACTCTATTATTTCAATTTAAAAGGAATCAATATAAAAAATGTCATAATTTTTGCAAATTAATAGTTTTTAATTTTGTAATAGAATTATTTAGTTATGATTTATTAAATAGATTTTCCAGAAAGAGTTTTAAAAGAGGCTTTTTTAGATAATTTTGAAAAATTGAATTTAACAAAATTTCTTCATTTTGATTAATCAAAAAGCATCTTGTTTGAGTTTGGCTACCATTTTACAGCATATTTTGTAGCCATACCAAATTTAAATGGATATTTTACTAATAATTCTTCTTCTAATAAATTTACAATTTATAGAACAATATTGAATGTCTTAGATCCTCGTTGTAAAGTTAAAATATTTTTTACAGTATTAAGTGAAAATGATACTCTCATTTATAATACATCCCAAAGTGATACCAATAAAAATTATGTTGTAATTAACAAAGGTTATAATTAAATAATTGAAAATTATTCTGGATCATTATTATAATTATCTAGTATATTTACAGAAAATTATGTTGGAGATTTTGAATTAGCAATACTTTAATCAGTAAATTTAACAATGAATCTTAATTTTTAGCTTGCATCTATGATGAATTTAATTTAATAATATTTACAAAATTTAATTTTTATAGCTGGAATACAAAATGAAACTGTTTATTTTTATTAAGGCCTTCCAAATTAACTTAATTTAATATATTATTAAGATTTAAATCAATCAGACATCTAATAAATTTAATTAGCATAAAATTTAGAAGGTATTGTTTTTGTTAGTATTTCATTATCTTAAAACTAAATATTGCTTTTTACTTATAATTCATCAATATCATCAATTGATTATATTTACATTAATGTTCCTTAATTTTAATCTATTTTGTAGAGTTATAATTGCATTGTAGTCTTAACAAAGAGAAACGAAATACTTGTGATTTAATTAAATGGTTAAGTTTAATTTCACATTGATGAAGATAATTATAAATAGTTTTTTCCATAAGTGTAAAAATTTAGACCTACTGCAATAGCCTTGAATTAATTTGATTTATCTTCACTATTAATAATTGGCAATGAGTATTAGATATTAATCTGCTCAATTACTAATGAAGCTATTTTAACTCCATTAATCATTTAAAATCTAGAAATTATGGTTTTTGATCTTAAAGTTATAAAGAACAAAATAATAATTATTTATAGATAAAATGATTTATTAAGTATGTGTTTTTAAGTTTGGGAAATAGCAAATATGTCAAGTATTATCTTTGTAAAGAATTTGAGATGCACTTAATTTAATGAATATTAAATGTCTACATCTGATAACTAATTTTTTTTTGTAAAATAAAAATCAAATAATATGCTAGTATATAATCCAAATTTACCTTAACATGCATCTCTTTATTATAATTTTACTTATAATTAAAGTTATTTAGCATGTACTTATATAGAAGAATTCTCACAATTATTAATAAATGGTAATTTTTATAATTTATACCCTATTATTACTATGAAATTTACACCAAATCTTTCTCTTTATTATTCAAATTATGAGAAAGTTGTTTATTACTTTTTCAATATTACATCAGGTATTAATAAATATACCTATTAAATAACTCCAACTTATACTCTAAGATTGATTAATAATTTTATTAATATTTCATTAAATGTAATAGATAAGTAGGTAGAAAAAGATGAAGTTGTTATATTACATTAGGAAAATATTAGCAATAATTCATAGATAGCATTTTTTAATTTGTAAAATGGCAACTATGAACATAGTGAATGTAATTTATATAATTCTTTAAATTATTTATAACCATTTAGTTATAATTCATCCTATAATATTCTAACTGCTGTGAATGGACTATTTGTGTTATAAAGTTAAAACTATTTATTTGTTCTAGACTCATATTATTATAATTATACATTTGATTCTATTGAATCTTGTTACTTATCATATTCATCTTATAGAACTTTATATTCAATTTGCCAAAATAAAAATTAATAATTAATTGTAATTTCATTTAATATAAATGCTTTTAACGTATAACAATTATAAACATATATTCTGACAGATTATATTTAACCATTACAATTTGTAGTTTTATTTGAAATGTATTTTGTTTTAGAAAATCTCGATAATTAAACTAATATATTCATATATATTCCTTAAAAAAATTATTCATTACAACTAACAGATTCTTTGAATTGCACTTATTTTAGTGTTACTAATTTTAGAAACGCAACTTAAGCTTCATAACAGATTTCTTTAATTGCTGTTTTTTATATATGTTCCTACTCATTACATTATAAAATTCTTCAATATAATTTGATTACTTAAGAATTAACCGCAATTAGCAAAGAATAAAAAATAAATATTTAAACTAATACACAAATTTAATAATTTAAACCATATTAATTTTTGGTTGTGAAAAATTACTATTCAGAAATTATAGTATTATTAACAACTACTAATTTTTGTACATTAATCATATCTATGGCATATGATTCATAGAAATTACAATATTAAATATAGTAAATTATTGGAACAATACCTCTTTATGGAAACCTTACTTTAAAAAATTCTTAATTAGCTAATGGGATTTTAATAAATACTTATAAAAGTGAATAAAATTAATATTATTATACATTCTATAACTTAACCAAAATTAAAATTGCTGATCTTGGATAACCATTACTCATGATTGGAGGTTTAGTTCCACAAAATAGTTCATAAATGATAGCTGCAGTTTATGATATAAAAAATTAAAATGGATAATTTCTTATATCAAATGACACAAATGGAATTTTATATAATATTACTCCTATGTCAATCATTTGTAAATTTAATCTAAGCATATTTGCTAAATCTGAAAAGTTTAAATATTCCTTATTAGCAGAAAATGCATTTGGGCAAAATTAAACAGAGTTGACTTTTATATATGAAAGAAATCAAAATAATTGGGTTTATGGATTAATATCTATTGTAGCCTTTTGTTTAATAATAACACTATATATATATTGGAAAAAGCTAAGAACAGTTAAATCCATAAGGAATGATTATGAGGAAGAATTTGAACTTTGATTATTTATATTAAATTTTGTTAATCATTATTTACTATCTAAAGATAAACTTTTAATCTTAATGAATATAATATTTGAACAACATCATTTTTATTAATGTAAATATAATTATTTAGATTTGTTATTTAAACATTTATGATAAGTAATTTGAATTAGAGATTGAAAATATAAGTAAGATATTAGTATTATAAATTTTAGAAATTAGGTTCTTTTTGAATAAGTATTTATTCTATTTTTTAATTTTTCATAATTATATTTATTATTAAGAATATATATATATAGAAATTTATAGCAAATGATTTCTGAAATACGAATGAGATTACTTTTCAATATGCTCTATTTCTCAGACTTTGTAAATACTTTTATTGCTTACCAATACTATAATTTAAGCTTATTTTCAGGTATTAATCAATTGTTCTTTTTTGTCATTATGACTATTTTAAAAATTATCTGTCCTGCTCTAGGAGGGTTTATAATAGATCATGTTTAATATACTTTAAATATCTTTTTTATTAGTTTATTTTTAACAATATTTTCATACATATACTTTTTAGGATATTGTTGGAAATTGATATAAGACTATTTGTATTTTGCAATAGGATTTTAGATATTGGCATAACAATTACAAACTATAATAATATAGACTATGGTTTCTAAGCATTTTCCTGAAGATCAAATTCCTAGATAATTAGCTTTATTTTATTAATATGGATATGCTGGAAGGCTTCTATGTGCCATCATAACTTTGATAATATATTATCGATTGGAGAAGTTAAATACTGTTTCCATAATAACTGGTGAGATCTCAACAATAGTAATGTCATCGATACCTTTAGTAATTCTTTTAAGTCTCACAATTTGTTTTTAACGTTCTTTTAAGACTTTTAAAGTTGATGCATTTTAAAAAATACCAGAATTGCAATTAATTCCAATACAATCTAAAGGAAATTTATTGTAAGCTTTGAAAGAAATTTTAAATACAGATAGAGCAGTAATAGCAATAGCAGCAGGATCTATAATGAGTATTATATAGATTTGGTAATCATATGATGTAACTTCATTATATCATAATTTTAAAAATGAAATAGATGAATAGTTTATTGATTCTAAGAATGGATATATAATTTTAGGATTTATAATTTAAGAAGCACCAATTATTATTTGTAAATAAATGTCTTTGATTTCGTAGCTATAATATTTGCAAGATATATTGCCAAAAACATTTAGTAATAGGATAATGCATTAAAATATTTGACAGATAAAACAGCAGATTCTTTGATGTATTTTTTATTAAGTACTCTTTAATTCACTTGTAGAAATAGTCTTTTAGGTTTAAGGATGTTCTTCTTTATTATCACTTTAATTATGTAATAATTCATTTTCACAGTTGTTTAAGTAATAAGATTATACAAAATTATAGATATCAAGTGCAAGTTTGATTGGTATTCAGAAATAAAACTTTAGAACTTAAGGATTGTCATTTGGTTTAATTTAAATGTTCATCAATATATTTAATATTTGGGTTATTAGTGTTTTGAGTTAATTGCCTAATATAAATTGTAATAATAGATTTTAAGGATAGCAACTGTAAAATTGACAATAATTTATGGATTTGCCTTTTGTTATTCTATAATTGGTATAGTCTTAAGTAAAATGTTATAATTTGTTAAACAATTCAATGAAGCAATGAAAGAAGGGAAATAGAATTATCAAAGGTAACTTTTTTTAAAATGATTCTTATATTAAATATATTATTTAAATAATTAATTATTATATTTTACTATTTAATATTTGATAATTAAATATAAATATTAACTATGTAGGTAAGAAAATCATTCTTTTTATTGATTATTATTATTATTGTCTCTATTGGATAATGGTAATCTAATGCATTTAAATTAATTTAATTCTCTTGTATTAAGTTTCTTCTTAATTTAATTTTTATTAGTCATTGAACTTCTATGAGTTAAACAAGTCTTTTTTTATAATAAACTCTATAGATCAGACATCACTTATAATTCTAATTGATGAACTTTTTTATTATTAAAACTTCTTTTGGATTCTTAATCTCTAGGAGTAGATGATATATGTTGAATCTAATGAGAACTATTTTTATTTGGTGATTTGAGAATATTTAGAATATGAGTAACACTACTCTTTCTTTAATTTACATTATTTGGTATATTTGTATTGTTTCTTGCACTGCTACATTATTATTTATTAAATGATTATTTCATTTTGGCTGATAATTTTATAAATTGTTGAACTGGCGAAGCCATATTGACAGAAGGTGATTTAGGTTTGCTTTTAGTAAATTATTTTATATTTTTTGGGGAAATATGTTAGGATGGTTTTTAATCTCTGGGAGATGCAACATCAATAAGTTAAATGGAAGCTGATTGTATTTTAAGTGAAGGAGATTTACTTTTTTGTTGTTATGGTTATTTAGTTTATTTTAGAATAGATTATTTATTAGATTTACTAGTAGTTGTATTACTTCCAATACTATTGATTTTAGTGGAAGATGTATTTGGTTATTTTTTTAATTTGATCATTGACTAAATTTATTATTTGATTTTTTCAATTGAATCAGGTTCTTAAATTAAGAAACTGATTCCTTACAAGATTTTATCATTTTTCGAGAGGATCTAATTTAATTATAGTTTAATAATACTTCATCAGAAGAACTAGGATCTTGTGGTGTAATTTATTCACTTGTCAAAGGGATAGGTGAATCACCTACAATTCCTTTTTAAGGTTTGTCAGGGTTATTATTATTTTCTTAAGCAATCAAACGAGCAATTCTAAAAAATGCTAGTCTTCTTTTACGATCATGAAAATAATTTAAGGGAATGATTGCAGGAATCATAAATAAACGTGGTATATCATTATGATACTGATTGATTAATTGTATTTCATACTTTATAATATTCTCCTAACATATGTAATTTATCTCTTAACTGATTAATGTGATAATATTTGGTTATGTGTTCTTAAGGTGTGTCATAACATTATAGATCTTTAAGTTTGATAAGTAATTAACATCTTTTTCCTTCTAAAATGTCATTTATTCCTTTTTTATAATGATAATGAGATGATTGAGAGTACTTACTTATTAAATAACTATTCATAATAAATTAAAAAATGGAACAAATTCAACAGGTAAAAGCATAATTAACGAATGCAGGAATGTTTGAAATTTATATACAAATAAGATAAGACCAAAAATGATTTGATTGCAGTATCTTAGGCATTAAAAAAATGGCCATAAGAAGCATAATAATTTAGATAGTATTGTCTAAACTCTAAGATCTTTGTTTCCAATGAAGTACCAAAACACGTATATGTTGTAACAAAGGGTGAATTTGTATAAGTCAAATATGGTATCATTATTTAAGCAAAATGAATATTAGTCAAGTCTTAATCCAAGAATCCATTATATTATATAAGTAAGATATTTGCTCAGGAACCTCAAATATAGAAATAACTTCGTGTAACATTATCAATAATAATTATACTTCTAGACTTATAAGGTAATGGATGTAATAGGAATGGATGAAATTCATAATGATAATTATTCTTATGATGTTTTTTGTAATTCAACAATAGGAGAAGTCTTTTGTATAAAGAAATGTGTTTTTGAAAAAATAGTCTAAAATCAAACCATGAAAAAGAAGAACCTATAAATAATGATAGAAAATAAACCATGTTAAATGATTGAAATTCATTCTGCAAAAGGAGCAACACCAATTAATAGATTATAGTTAGGAGAGATACCAAGATAACCTGAAGAAATTAGTACACATCGTCATGAAAAGAGAACCATTGATTTCACAGCCTTTAAGTAAATTAAACCATAGCATATTGTTAATTAACCAATTGTTGAAGAACTAGAAGAACCTCCCCTAAATAATAGATTTCTTGGTGGTACAATTAAAATTAAACATTAGATTGATTTGGCTTAAATATATATATATATATCATTTTTATTATATTATTTATCATATAAAAAGAGTTCTATACTTTTTTTATTATATTCTACATTTTTAACTTATCTTCCTACTTGAACTATTATTGTTCATTACTGAACTTACAAATTGTTTAATAATAATTTATATTTATATAATATTAATAATGTCTAACCACCGTAATCTGAAAGATTTATTTCCAACTAAACTTAATTTTATTAAGCCCAAGCCTGTAAGATAATAATTATAATAAGGAATTATAAAATGATCGTTCTAAACAAATTAATAAATCTCCATTAGGATTAAGTTAATTTGCAAGTTTCTTCTAAATAGCTTAAAAAACTACTAAAAATAGATAAACACCATCTTCTTAGAGAAGTGTAACTCCTACCAAAGTTAAAATCATTTAATTGAATATGCAAAAATAAAATGAATCACATTTACAAATTTAATCAAAGCATTTAAGGAATTAGAGTGCAACAAATATTAATAGTAGTAGAAACAATTCATTTCATAAAGGAAAGTAGGAGTATTTAAATAATGCAAGTTCTCGTGGTTCAATGTTTGCATTATCTAAATTAATGTCATAACATAATTAATAAGATTCTTAAATACAATCACAGAATCGATCTAAAGATCAATCACCTATTAAACCAGCTATTTTTGAGAATCTAGATATAATTAATAGAAACACTGTTAGAAAGAATTCTAGATCTCCAAATACTACAACAAAAATTATATCTCCTTTTTTATATCCTAAATTTTCCAGTGCTCATTAAATTTAACCATAAGATAACTTTATCAATTATTAAAACAGTCTAGTTAAAGAAAATAAGCCAATTGAAAAAGGATCTCAAATCATAAATGAAGTTCCTTAAATTCATAAATAAGAATTCTTAATGCCTAGTTAATTTAAATATTCTAAAGGTTTTGAAAATCTATTAAATTCAATGATGAAACAATAACATAATTCTAGATATGAGAATTCTAAGAGCATAGTCAAATAACAAGAAAGACAATAATCAAGTGATGATGATGAAGAAACTTTAATGGTAGATTGCAATATTCAAGTGAACAAGAATAGTTTTCAATTTCATTATGTAATTGGAAAGGGTGGATTTGGAAAAGTTTGGAAAGTTGAAATAAAGAAATCTAGACAATTATATGCTATGAAGGAAATGTCAAAAGCAAAAGTAATAGCCAAAAGAAGTGTTAATTCAGTAATGAATGAAAGAAATCTATTGGCCTAATTTAAACATCCCTTTTTAATTAATATGAATTATTGTTTTCAAGATAGAGACAATTTATATTTGGTTATGGATTTATTAACAGGAGGAGATTTAAGATATCATATAGGGAAAATGAGAAGATTTAAAGAACACTAAACTAAATTCTTTGTAGCTTGTGTTTTATTATCATTAGAATATTTACACAACAATAATATAATACATAGAGATCTTAAACCAGAAAATTTAGTTTTGGATAAATATGGATATGTTAGATTAACAGATCTAGGAATTGCAAGAATCTGGAAACCTGAAAATTCATAAGATACAAGTGGTACACCTGGATATATGGGTAGAAGATTTATATTAAATATTTTAAGCTCCTGAAGTAATGTGTAGATAGAATCATACAATAGCAGTTGATTACTTTGCTCTTGGAATCATGGGTTATGAATTTATGTTAGGAAGAAGACCTTATAATGGAAGATCTAGATAAGAAATTAGAGATCAGATCCTCACCAGATAAGTTTAGATTAAAAAATCTGAAGTTCCAAATGATTGGTCATTTGAAGGTGCTGATTTTATAAACAAATTAATATAAAGAAAACCAATTAATAGACTTGGTTTTAAAGGACCAGATGAAGTCAAAAATCATCCTTGGCTTAGAAACTTTCCTTGGTAAAAACTCTTAAATAAAGAAATCTAATCTCCATATATTCCAACTGTATAAATATTATTTTTATTTAGGAAATTGATGACAATATTGAATATTTAAATTAAATTAGTGAGGATAACGAAAGTCAGGATGATTTGATTAGAGAAAATAAACTTTTATTAAAGAAAAATTCAGTTTAGAATTTATTTAATGGCTATAGTTATGAAAAAAATCTCTCAAAAAATACAAAAAGCACTTCTAGTACACTTTTTTAAGGATGATTTATATATTTCATTTTTTTTAAAACTTATATAAGGAGGAATCTCGATGATAATTAAATAACATTATCAATTAATAAAAAAATTTAGAAGCAAAACAAAATATATATTAACTACTCTAATTGGAAAAAGTAACAATAATTATGCATTCTCATTTTCATATCATTTGAATACAAATTTTTATTATTTATATATGATAAAATTAGAAATTGAAAAAAATATCTTAATTATATCATATATAAATACAGATATTATTAATTAAGTTTGTATAACATTTTTTTTTATTCTTAATTAATAATTTTATGTCAATTCATTCTTTTATTGAATATACATTCTAACGATTACCTGTATCTAAGCAATAACCCTCCATTTACTTCTCATAAGTTTTTCAGCAATCTTTTATCTTAATTAATAATAATGAACTATTTTTGATATTCGATTCTCTTGTTAAATACTATCCATTTCAATTTCTTCAACACTATTCAAATTTCTTAGTTTATTCATCTCCAACCTAAGTCTTTGTTTTTTCTTAACTAAAATATTCTAATTTGATTCGTTATCTAACATACTGCAAATGTAATCAATTTAGTATTAAAATTGACAAATATTCATATAATATTTTAAGATATTTTACTCAAACTTGAATTCAATTTAATTTTAGTGATTTTATTTAATCAATAGAAAATAGTTTAAAATCAATGACTTTGAAAATATTTAATTTCGAAATAAAACTCTTATATATAAAGTATTTGTTCGATTAAATATATTATATATAAATTATTTTTAGTTCGTTTCTTAAGGCAGATAATTACTAATTATCTCTATTATTAACAAAAATATACTATCATTTTTATTTCAATATTATCATAATTTAAAGAATTTTTGGGAATTACTTATAAAATAATTGAAATTGATTAACACTTGTGTTTGTTAAGTCTAAAATGAAATATAATATTTTTGGATGATTTTTTTTGAATATGGTTTTATAATAATCATCACAATGATCAGTTTCTTCTGTTGAAAAATCTCATAATTGATTCCAAACTTGCACAATGGTCTCTCATGCAAGCAGCAAATGCAGAAGCAACTTCATCATTAGCAGTGCAAGAAACAAACTAAGTAATTAAAATTAAAATTTACATCATCTAATTTTATATCCTCTCCGTGTTCTTTATTACAACTTTCCATGGTTTGGGTACATTATTCATTAAAAACACATTCAAATGCTTAATCCATACAATTATCCTAAAGACATTAAGCCATTGGATCTGTTTATCCCTCCTCTTATTTGTGATGCTTTCTAGCTGTTATACAAAGGATGAGTAATGCAATTGCCAAAATTTTTTACATTTTTATTTATTAATATTAGATTGTATAACTGTGACTTTTATATGACAAAAAAGATATGTTATAATTTAAATTCTAATATTTAATCAATAAAATATAGAAAAATACTTTTTTAATTAAAATTCATGAGATGATCTAACTGAAATTATTATAATATAATTCAGATTAAATAAAATGATTAAGTCAAATTTCAATAATTGTACAACAATAAACAATATATTGGCTAGCTTGTAAATATTTTTATTACCAAATATATCTCCTTATAAATAATCCTTTTTATAATAAAAATTATTTCGTTTTATATAGTTGCAATTATCAATTCTAATTTATTTGCTTTCAATTAGAGTAATATTATAGATATTATTAATATAACTTATTAGCATTTCTAGATAACATTATTTTAATGATTGTAATATGAATAATGAACATTATGTTTAACATATGTTAATAAATAAATTTTGATTAATTATGAATAATAAAAAAAATGCCAACATATTTTAACAAAGACCAAAATATATTCTGCATTAATAAAAAATAGATAATAAATTTATTATTTTCAATTCTCAAATATTAATTATAAAATTCTATTATATATAAAATATAATATATGATTTTAATGTTTTTAATGTTAATCAAAAATTATATCATCATTTCAGAATAGTTTAAATAAAAAAAGGAAGAAGGGATGTAATTATTCTAAAATTGATTATCAAAATATTCCATATAAATTGATAAATAATAATTATTTAACTTAATATTATCAAATTTTTGTTAAATCTAAAGAATAGATATCATTAAAGGACATTTAATGTCTATCTCCTCCAAAAATTATAAGTTAGGATTGATAAATTGTAAATGAATGTCCATCTCTAGCACAAGGCTTCTTTCCAATAATTTAATTTTACATTGATTGAAGTGGCTAGAGAAATCTTATTAAATATAATAAATAATTTACTTTGAAACTAAAGGTTTACCAAATTCAGTCAATTTTCCCTATCTAATTTTTAAGTCAGCTTTTGGATTGCCAACTAAAAATAAAGAGTTTCTCATTTTTTCAGAAGTAGGTGAATTATCTCTAAATTATAATTTTTAACCTTCATCAACCTCAAATATCTTTAATAATGCCATTTTTTTTTATTAAATTTCTTTTCTTTTTTTTTCATCAAGTGTTTTTTAATTTGATTAAGCTTATGATAAATTTCTAGTTGGCGACTCCAAACTGTCTTCAGATTAATCTGGTTTTTTAAGTGGAGAGAGAGTTGTTCTTTTAATTGTCTTTCTAATACTACCAGTTCTAGTTGATTTTCTAAATTATCTTCTTGAATTTTAAAGATCTTATTTATTATCTTTAGTAGGAGATAATAATTATTTATCTTTTCTTCTTGCACTATCTTCATCAACACTAATCCATTCCATTTTCTTAAGATTAAATACAAATAAATCATCTAATTCCCAAGTGATATCATGTATTCCACCAAAGATTATAATTTTATCATCATGAACAAGCATAACATGACCTGATCTAACTCTTGGTAATATATTGGAACTAACAGGAATGTAAGTCCATACTTAGAAATCGAATTTCCATAAATCATTAAATCTCTAATGTCCATTAGATCCTCCAAACATATAAAGAATGTTCTTATGTATAGCTATACCTGATCCATCTCTAGGAGTAGGAGCAGTACTATTTTATGGTTAGATTCTTTGCCATGTATTAGAAGCAAACTCATATTTATATACATAGTTAGAGTGTAAACCTACTGTTCCTCCAAAAAAGCCTCCAAATACAATCCAATTATCATTATGGATAATAGCTGTATGATTATCTATTTCTGGAGGATAAGATTGATTAATTTTGCACTTAATCCAAGTGTGGGAATTGAGATCAAAGTACCACATAGAATTAGTGGAAACCGATTAATGTATTTGACCACCAAAAATGTAGATTCTATCCATATAAGTGCACATTTGATGACGAGTTCTTGGTCCTGGATTTTCTTTGTAGGACAACTTTTCCCATTGATAACTCAAACTCTTTAGATTCATACGATAGAATTCATCCATTATTCCTAATTGAACTTAATATCCTCCATATAAATAAAGACTATATAAATACTGAAAATTATACAAATCATTATGAATTGTTATACTTGTATAAGCTCTATGGTTAATATTCTTACCATCTACTTTGAGTTCTGACCATTTTGGATCTTGATTCTCCACATTTACAGTTTTTACAGGTTATATGTACTTGTATTCTTGTTCTTGTTATTGCTCCTGTCTACTAGGAATCAGACTAATACGTTTCACTTCTTTAGTATCCTTATTTGACCGATTTGATAACATAATAAAAATTATAACAGTCAAAATGGGAAATTGTGCAACCTGTGATGATCCAAATCAATATGAATCTCGTAATGAACTCAAACCATCCAAAAAAGTACCTGATAATTAAGAAAACTTAAGTGTCAAACCAAAATTATAACAATCCTCTCAATTAATTTAACATATTAGATCTGATCTAAAAAAACTTAGTTCTATACCTGATTTCTCTAATTCATTAACTTAAGAAGCATTAAATAGAGTTGGTCCTTATGAATATGAAGATCCAAATGAGGATATATTTGCTTTACCTTATTCTGGTGTATTGGAAATTGAAACTAATGTATACTATGAAGGATAATGGAAGAATGGAATGAGACAAGGAAGAGGAAAATAACATTGGGCTGATGGTTCTATTTATGAAGGTTATTTTGCATCTGATATGGCTAACGGAAAAGGTAGATTGATTCATGCTGATGGAGATGTTTATATTGGAGAATGGCTTAATGATAAAGCTCATGGCAAAGGAACTTATTATCATAAAGATGGAGCATCATATGTAGGAGAGTGGTTTGAAGATAAATAACATGGTTTTGGAGTTGAAAAATGGGTTGATGGAGCAATGTATGAAGGTGATTATGATATGGGTTTAAAACATGGAATTGGTACATTTACATGGAGTGATGGTAGTACTTATACTGGAGAATTTGCTTTTAATAATATTCATGGAAAAGGTGTTTATAAATGGGCAGATTTTAGAGAGTATACTGGAGATTGGAAAGACAATAAAATGGATGGAAATGGTATTTTTACATGGAAGGATGGTAGAAAATATAAAGGATAATATTTTGATGATAAGAAACATGGTTTTGGAGAATTTTTTTGGCCAGATGGAAGAATGTATAAAGGTTTTTGGAAAGATGGATAATAACATGGTAAAGGAGTATATAGAGGTAGTAATGGTGTTCAAAGAGAAGGAGAATGGGAAGATGGAAAAAAAATAAGATGGTTAGATGAATGAAATAATAATATATTTGAGATTTCTTTTCATTAAATATTGTACTTTTTTGATCAAACTATATAATTCATTAAGGAGTTAAGAGAATTCTAAAGAGTTATTGAATAACACAACTTTATTATGATAAGATGAGTAAATTGAATATTGTTCATTTATTTAATGAAACATAATATAAATTATTAAATTATTTGTGATGGAAGACGATGAGATAAGAATGGATAATATTGAAAATTTAACAGAAGAATAGTTAAAGATACTTGAATAAAGATATAAAGAGTAATATTTACCAAATTATCGTTTGTATTTACTTGTC